AAAGTAACACACGTGCGTGGTCAATGGAAACTCCTAATTTTTCCAAAATTATGGCTAGAAATCGTTTTCAAGCCATACTGCAGTTTCTTCATTGCAATGACAATGCTATTGCAGCAGAACCTGGTGATATTGGTTATGACCCTCTACACAAAATTTCACCAATTATTGAAATTTTGAACGAAACCTTCAGCCGAAATTACAAGTATGTTTTCATTATACTTCATGTACATGTACATGTATATAGCATAATTTTTTTTTTATCACGAGGAGAATAAGCAAATTGAAGTTATAAATTAATGTGAACAGAATTTTCTTACATATATCTCTGTATCCAGCCTCTTTCTGCTGTGCTGCTATTATTATTATAATTTTCTATATGTAAGTTTTTCACTAAATATTATTGATCCAGTTTCAGACAATTGCGGATATGTTACAAAACTGGCATTTTCACGAGTATCTTACTTGTGCTTTTGTACAATCATCTTCCATTTGTGCCTCTGGTAGAAATGATTAAAATTCTAACATATTATGATATTTCAATATTATTTAAATGTGAAATGATTGTATATACTTCCTGGGGGCCCTTGATTGGTGAATAAACATAAACATATATAAAAATTTGAACGACAAATTTTTAATGTTGAACACAGTCATGTGATTGTCCTGAATCGAAATGACTTTTTCAGTTATCCCCCACTTTTAAGTCAGATGTGTGTTTTTTTTTTAATTTTCTTTTAGAGAATTCAGTAAAACTTACAAATGAGAGCTTCCTGTTGACACTTGTATTTTATCCTGTTAGGATTTTCATTTTTTTTTCAAATAAAGGCTTAACCGGGATGTTTGCGTAGATGAAAGAATTGTAGGGTTTAAAGGAAGGCATCAACTCAAGCAATACATCTCAAATAAGAAAGCACACAGATGGGGGATCAAACTTTGGGTGCTATCAGACTCCACTTCTGGATACACTCATCACCTAAACATTTACAAAGGCAGGAGAAATGAGCGACGCAGTCCGAACGGACAAGTAAGTGCTTTTGACAGAATAATAATAGTTGTAACTGTTACGAAAGTATTTGACACGATATTTCATTTATATTTCCAATGCAGTGATCCTACAAGTATTACCGGCTGTTTGTTTGTTGAGTCGCGTGCTGATCTTGTGCGGGTGGTCCTGCTTTTCTGTATTTTTTTTTCAAAACCCAAGCAGCATGCTTTTCCGTGAGTACTTTAGTAGGCTTGTCCGCGAGAACTTGAAACTGCTTTTCCGCCAGTCGATTTACATAGGCTTATGAAGATTTGAAATGTCTTTTCTGCGATTAAAATAACGACAGGTAGAAATACTCTGTTCCACGTCTTTTTTATTCTTTGTATATTTTGCTATACTGGGATTTTATTTAGAGGAATCAAACAAACAGCAGCAAATTTTTATTTGTCAATTTATTCAATACTTGGAATACATTTGGATTAAAAAAATTAACTCAGAGAAGTTTTAGGCAGACCGCATTTTTACAAGTTAGAGAGTATATCAATTACATTCAGACACGTAGCATTTTTTACCAAAAAGGGTGAGTGCAGCCAGCCAGAGAACCATTTACAAGCAAAAGGAAGGTGCCTTGAAGAATTTACACACACACACATCCCCCCCCCCCCAAAAAAAAAAAAACAAAAAACAAAAAAGAACACTAAGTGAAAATCACCCAAACTCGTATATGTTGTAGGGCTATCAGGCAGTAATGGACTTGATGGAGCCACATTTCTATAAAGAGCATCATATCACTTTCGACAGTTTTTTCACCAGCCCCAAACTGGTATATGATCTCTTGGACAAGCAAACTCACAGCACAGGAACAGTGATCAAATCTCGAAAGGATATGCCTTCCAGTTTTAAGAACGCAATAATGCAGAAAGGAGATGTTAAGGTTAAAACACGTGCTGGAGTAATGGCTGTTCAGTGGGCAGACAGGAGAGTTGTATCTTTGTTGACCACTACTGGTTCCGCGAGGTAACTAAATCTAATGTATCTGATGAGACTGTAGCTCTGTTGGTTTGTATTGAAATTAAATACTGATGAAGAAAATTTTCTCCTAGGTTTGTAATAGTTTTTACATTACTTTTACCTCTTAAAATTCAGAATCTTTATATGTATTCAAATGTTATTAAAATCAAACGAAAACTATGGCTAGTTGGATTTTGAAAGAATTTTACACCTTGTTATGTTTACCATGTAATCGCTTCTCATCAAAAATTGATACATGTAATTCACTTGTTTATAAAAGTAGTTATATGTAGTACACTTTTATTCTAAGTTTATCAAAATATTTAAAAAGATGTCAAAACTGTAGGAGGAGTAAAGTTTAAAAGTGTTACATATTTATAGGCAGATACAAACAACAAATGGAAAGGGTCGTGAAGTTTCTATCCCTGCCATTATAGACACCTACAATCTTACGATGGGAGGGGTCGATCTCGGAGATCAACTTATTCTCCAATTTGAGCCACAGTTCAAGAGTTTAAAGATGTGGAGAAAACTCCTATTTCACTCTCTTGTAACCGCAGCAGGTATATGTTTTGACTTACACTTCCATGCATACAAAACATATTTTATTAAAGCTGTTCGGAATGTAAATTGTTGCAGAATATTTTTATAATGTCGAAATGTTTTTATCTTAAAATATCCTTGTAGTAAATGCCTATATTTGCTATCGAGATTCCTTTATTGTACAACACAAAATGGACCATCTGAAGTTTCACCAGCAGCTTTGCCAAGAACTTATTGGGGGTTTTCGACAGGGTAGCAGGAACAGACAGCTGCGTATAATACCAGTCCAGCACAGAACCTTGGCAAGATTGTCTGAGAGGCACTTTCCGTCTAAAATACCAGATGGTAAGCGTAAGAGATGTGCTGTTTGCGCGGGACATGGAGGCGGATTCAGGAAAACAAGAATTCAGTGGTGGTGTGAGGACTGCAGGGTCGGACTCTGTGTAGAAGGATGCTTTAGGAAATTTCACACGAGGATCAATTTTGAGGAGTAATTGGAACACAGATATGACAAACTATTACTCTACTCAAAATAAAACTGCCTTGTGTTTAATCTAAGTGTGGTGTGTGTGTGCGAGAGAGAGAGCGACAATTTTTTTATTACCTATATTTATATTCTTATTACGGATGAATTAAACCTACTTACAGCAGAGCTGGCGTCTGTCATAAAGCTGTCCTAACTGAAATGTTACTTAAATGAATGAAATTTGGAGCTACATTTTCTTATGTTCTTTAAAAATAGACAGTATTATAGCAATTTACCTGAACACATTGAGTAAATTTGCTGACTGTGGCTAAATCAAATATATTAGTTAAGTTAATTATTAAACAATTTCTGTTAATCAAAAGTTACGCACTTATTTAGTTTCCAGAGAGGATATCTGTTATGTTCGGTAAATATCAGTTCGTCATATTTTATAAATGTTTTTAGCAACTTAAACACTACATATATTGTAATCGTTTATCTTTAAAAATCAATCAAATGATCAATTAACTACTTAATTCAAATTTATTACAAATATGTGTAATATACATTTATAACATTTATCAGAATATCAATATATTATTTGAAAAATATTAAAAAAGTTTCTAAAGACTTTCCTTGTGTATGCTAGCTACAGGAATACATAGGCGGACTCGGGGGATGGCAGCTTAGCCCCCCCCCTTTTTTCAAAGATAGCCATAATATAGGCATTGAACATTGGGGCGTGGATTTAGCCCCCCCCCCCCCACTTTTAACAGGAACGTTTCAGTGTAGTCAAAGATCGAAGGCTAAGTGGTACTGTTTGAAAAAAAAAAATTGGTACTGAAGTTCGATCCTAACCCCCCCCCCCCCCCCCCCCTAAATAGGATTTTTGGGTTTGAACGATGAACAATTTTCCAATTTATTTTATTTTATTTATTTATTTTTTTTTTTTTGCTTGTCAAGTTTATTTTCAGATTTGAAATTTCTTTTTCTTTCAATCACCCCCCCCCTTTCAATTTGCTTCCGACGCCAAATATTTGCTAAATTTACTTTACGTCGATTAAAAAATTATTGGAATGAATATAACATAACTATATAACATGCATTTTTGCATTTTCCACGAAAACCATGAACATCCTATTACCTTGGTTATACAGGTGCTCGTTTCATGATCAATTTGACGTTTTTTTTTCTGAAGCAATTACTTTACGTCTAGATTGACGTCATAGTATGGCATTCATGACGTTACAGATGTAACCGTATTCGGCGTCGAAAGGGTTAAAAATGTTTCTCCTTTTGTGCAGTTGCAATCAAAGATCTAAAAGTTTTGGGGCTATGTATAACAGTTAATCTGTGAATAAGCAGCTACTTTAACAAAGAAGAGCAGTTTTGGTCAACAAGATAATTGATTGGTAATAATTCAGCACAATGCAAGGCAATCACACTTAGTCATGCCTCATCGCACTTCCAGTAATGGACAGCTATCCAAACAATAGAGATGCATTTTTTTGGTTAAAAAGTGTTTAAAAGAGGCAATGTTTTTACTATCTATGCCCTAGGTTGTTTTTATCAAACCTTTTTAAAAAAATATCAGCCATATTTTCCATGCGACTTTTTGTTTGCTTTTCATAAAACAGAAACTTATTCTAAAATAGCTAAATAAAGCTATATTATATAGGTAAATAAAGCTATATAGGTAAATTAAGCTATATAGCTAAATATAGTGATTTTCCTGGACCTGTTTAAGTTTAATTTTTTAAGATTTTTTTTTGTATTTTCATTACATAAAATACCTTGATCAAGGTATTTGTAATACCTTGATAAAGCTATATAGCTTTATCAAGCTATATACCTTTATCAGGGTATTGTGCTGGACCTGGTTTGGTAGGCTGTGCCCAACCTGAGAAACACCCAAACGCAGTGGTTAACCAAAAATGTAGTGAATTATCCAAGCAACGTGTGTGTTTTATAAAGAATTCTTTCTTTTAACTTTACCCTATCATCTGAAGTACATTATATGCAACAAGATATGCCACTGAAAGGCCGTTTTCAGCACTTGGACTTTGTGTTGGGTCTTTCTTTTCACCTTTTGTCGCCATGATGCGGTCTCGAGTGAACACTGCTAAAACCGTTGAACCATACGAAACTTCTTCAATCCGGTAAATGCTAAAAAAAATTATTAATCATGAAAATTTTTAGCCTAACGTATTCTAACTTATTCTGTTTATCTTTATAAGGTAAAATTATCTGCGATTATTATTTATAAAAAAGATTTCTTCACTAAAAACATGAGATAAAGACAATAAAATGAATTATCCGGAAATAATCAATCCATTTTTATTATTCTTTTGGTGTGTAGCGCTAGTTTTGAAACTTCCGTATTACCGGAGGACATGATGGGAAAAAATTAGAGGATAACCGAAAGCCTCGCACTTTGTTTGATCACGTGGCTCACCCCGGCGACGAGCTTTGTTGAAAGCTGTTGTTCAAAGATTTTTTTCCATACCATCATGGAGTAGATTTCTAAACAGGGATATTTGATAAAACGCTTAATTCACAAAGAAGAAAAAAGCAGTTTTAAAAAATGAGTCACGTGTACGAAGGGTAAGTTGATATAAATGTTCCTATATGTGAAAATTACAAAATAAAATGTGAGAAAACGTCAGTCAAATGCCTCTTACATGTATTTTCAGGCAAAAAACCCAAAGTAATTTTCCATTTTCAATCCTTATAGTAGAGATAAAATGAAGTGAATGAATTGATGGGGCTTGTATAATCTTAATCGATATGGCCTATAGCTTTTGGCTGTAATAATTAAATTATTTTGTCGTCAGTTTCTGACATGAACACTTTTCATTTTTAAGCTCTTTTGTAAGAATATATATTTTCAATACAATATATAAACATTGTTGTGGGTCCCATCACGCATTCTCCCAATTCTGTCAATTCTTTGCATGTTCCATCAGTCCATCTCATAGGGCTCCATGCACGGTCTTGGTTATTAAAATAAGGGCTAAAGGGTATTTATAGAAATCAGTGTTTAATTGTTTCTTCAATTTATTAAATGCAATTCTGAAGTAAAATCATGAAAGTTAGAAGCTGACAATAAAAGGAAAAATACTTGAAAGTTTATCAGTAGAGTAGCTAGACAAACTCCTGTCTGCCCAGGCATCCAAGTCCTTTTAAAACTAGCAAAATAGTATATATCAAAGGTAAAACATGGTGTCACACAGAGAATAAAATTTATGCTGCATTTGATTTTTTTTATGAGAGCTGAGAACATAATACCCTTAGATTATTTTGGGGAATTACTTTGTGTCTCTTGCTATCAAGTCATTGAAAAATTAATATGGGTAGTTAGACAATTTGTGTACAATATAATAAAAACATGAATAAAAATGAAATACATGTATATAAAATCCAAGAAATTGAACACCAGACCTCATGTCTGTAATTTCAAGTATTTTCTGAAAAGTTCATATTAAAGAATACATATATAATGATAAACACTTGTTTCAAAAACAAAATGTTTAAATGAATTTGTTAGTCATTAGATATCAGAAAAAGGGGTAAATCATCAACATAGAGAAGAGGCTTAGTTTGCTTGAATCATACTTTTACAAAGAAAATTATCACTATGATAAGGTTGTGGTTGTTATGGCTTTACATGGATATTGGCCAGAATAGCTCAGTGGTTACAGCACGTGACTTGAGTGATGCAAGGGTCCTCAGGGTTCCATTTCATATTTTCTTTATTCACTCCTCCTTTCTTACTATTTTTGGTGGCTAGTTGGGGCCCATTTTCAGATTATGTGTAAATTGATAATTTCTGACAAGGTGAACTTGTGCTCAGTTGTGTGTCTTGAAGGTTAAATTCTGTTAAAGGAGGGAGGAATGTGGTACTTTGGGCTTTATATAGTATTTGTGTTGAGACATGACAAAACTTATGTGAAAGCTTTCTTTTTGTACTAAAATGAATTGCCGAATTTAAAATAGGTATCATAATGCAGCATGGAATCTTATGAATTCAAGTGATGGACTATAGGGCATATAATTATCATAAGTATAGTATGTAATTTAGAGGATTTCAAAATAAATATTTTTATGGTGTATTTGTTCACTCCTTTTTTTTTGTTTAACATATTAAGCAAAAGCTGTAAGCATTTGTAAGGATGCACAAAAGTTTTGCAAATCAGTGTCAATGATAAAAGAGATCATAAAAAAAGGTTTGGGGAAAAACTCAGGTGACCCTTAAGGCCCATGGGCTTGTTATTAGTTGATAAAAATTTTAATTTTTTTTTCTTACAAGTTACAACTCTTTTCTACCAAAATCTTAAGTACCTAGGATGTGTACTGGAATGAATACACTATTTCACATCGACAATGTTTTAATTATTAAATTTTTTTGTTTACATAGAACAAACATATGTCTATTCTGGTTTCCATGTTTAACTTTTAATCAATATTTGTGCCAACAAATACCTGGTTAAACCTGACAGTTTGGAGATATCCTGGTATACCCCATACAACACTGTCTCTCATTTGAATAATCTGTTTGCTATATGTCAAAAGGGAAAGGGTGTAATGCTCCTTATCACTACAAATGAGATTAAGAGGCTCTATGTAATGTTGGCTTTCATGGAAAAATGCCTTTGAATTATGAGTCTGAAGACAGAAATCACAGAATCTCAGAATTCATATCAAATCAAGTCAGAAAATAAATCAGTGTTCATTTTTCTTATAAAATATGTTCAGCATTATTTTAGTAAGATTTATTAAGGGTTCAATTCTGTCTTATTTGACACATTGCATTAATTTTACAAATTAATTTGTATCCAATGTATCTTAATTAAGGTAATAAATTGTAATTTCATTGTTTTAAAACAAGTTATTTATATAGTTAGTTTTACTTAATATCTGACGGACTTTGCCATTAAGACTCTGATCTTTTGTTTTACTTTGATATCATGTCTTAATATGCTCTGTAGACTTTTTATTTTCTGACTTCTTTTCTGTTTGATTTCAGGCCTTTGGCCACCTATAACAGTCTGACAGACAAGAACCTGGCTGGCTACTTCTCCAACACTCGAATGAGGAGGCATCTGCGCAAGTCTGGACTGGTAGGAAATATAGTGATTACATTTAAGAAAGTTGATTTCAAATACAGTGTGTATGCTTTGAAGCTGATTATGTCAAGTTTATTTGTAACTGAATAACTTTATCATAAATGTTTTATTATCAGTGGTGTAAAACTTTTAATTGGAATCTCTAATTGATACAATTTGTATGAATTTTTCTCAAAGAATGCCCTTTGGCACAAAGATAACTGCTCTAAATCATTTTTTTTCATCCTTCAAATTACCTGTATCTGAGAAATCCATTGAAAATTAGAGAAGAATCTGATGAAAAAAAATTAAATTACCTGTATCTGAGAAATCCATTGAAAATTAGAGAAGAATCTGATGAAAAAAAATTATTTGTGTATTTACTGGGTTAGAAAATTGGTAATAATTTTATTGCAGGTCAACAAACATGGAGAATTAATATCAGAAAATCAGTATCGCCTGAACATGGCCAGGAAAGAGCACAAAAAGCACGTAAAAGATATGCTGGCACAAGCCATTGTTCATAAGACATTGGACATGGAACGCAATCGACAGGTAGAAATCCGGAGAAAGCTGGAGGAAATTGCTAAGATTGAAGTCGTAAGGAGAGTCCGGGTAAGCTTCTTACTGACACATACACAGAGGTTCTACTTTTTTGTTAGAATAAGATGTCTGAAATAGATGTTGAGATAGAAATGTTTTATTTTTAAGCAAACTGAAGATTAATTCAAGGGGAAAATATTTGACATAATTAGACCTTAGTGATATGGTTATAAGTTGAAACATTTTTAAAATATTTTTGAAGAAGGAAAATTAAAATTAATGATGAAAAAAATTCAAACTTATTGATTGGATGAACACTGAATTAGGTTATAGAATAAGTTATTATAATGGCAATCATTCTAGTATATAAATGAAATATGCATCTAGGATAAAACAGTTGTTAAAGAGGAGAAAATTGGTAGAAATCGTTATCGGGTGAGAGACAAATTCACAGGACAATTCTGATATTTGCTTTCCACTGCATTAGTATATTTATCTGTATATGGCAATACCAGTCTCGTGTAGAGTAGGTCATTAATTAGACAATGGCTCCATCATTGGGATGCTGTCCAGTACTATTGCTAGTAAAGCTAAGCATGTCTATAGTCAGCTGTCTCTCTCAGTTGGAGTTTATAGATCTATCAATTGCTATTGGATAAATGGTGTCATTATTACCCATCTGCATGTTTATTGTGTACTGGATCATAGAGGTTATCTCCCTTTAGTTTCTATACTATATTATACATGTAATTCATTTTCTGCAAATATAATTACAATCCAAGATATTTCTCTATATAAATAAATACTTATACATGTATGTACTTAAATTTTCTTTGAGGTGCTCCTGAGATTAATATGTATGTACATTAATGATTTTAAATGATTAAAATTGAGGTTCATAAAGAAAAAAAAATGCACATTTATATACCCAAAAAATCAAACTCAGTATTCATTCATTATCAATTAATCAATTAATAGTTAATGCCTTTTGTTTTTTATTATGTATACATTGTACATACTAGTATATCTCTTTCTCAAAATAGCTTGATCAGTAATATAATAATGCAATGAATCTCTATCCAGTTGAGCATTTTGAGGTACATTAGATTGATTTGATCACTCTTCTTGATTAATTAATCAGGACCAAAGTTATATTGATTTCCTCCTGGTCTTACTGAATAACAGAAGACTACTTAACAAGGCATGGAAAAGATTCCATGTTCACTCGATTCTCTATCTATTAGGCATCATTATCAGATTCTGTATGCACAGGAATTTAAATTGATTTTAACAATAAGCACGTCACCATAATGAAGAATTTTACATAAAATTAAATGCATGACTTGAAAATTGATTGATTTATATTTTAAGGATTTTTTAAATTTTAAAAATATTATGTTGGACTTTATACAGAAAGCTTTATTGAAAATAATGCCAATTTCTTCGCAGTTTGTATGGTTAATTTTTTTTTCGTGAACAGAAATAGGAATTTTTAATCACGCTAAACTGTTAATTATTTTTGGATTTCAACATTTATCAGAAGCTAGCATACATTCTTGACACTGACTCTTCTAGGCTGATCACAATCGCAGTGACAGTTACTTACTGCCTCTTCTGTCACCCCGAGCAAAACCGATCCCTCGGCCCCCAACCCCATCCCCACCACCCCCCGTGGAGGAAGAGGAAGAGGAGGAAAAAGTTGGTTTTAAGACACATCATCCTTTATAGATGTCTCTGATGGTTTAGCTTGATTGTTTTTCTTGTGTACTAACAGCTTTTTCATGATACATGTACATATTGGTGGGTTTGCTTTGTTAGTCAATTGACCATTCAATAAAATTTCTTTGTTGGCAAAGAAATTGCAGAAAACAAATTGTACTGAAAGAATGTACTAATGATTTTCTGAATGAGAGTGGTTCCAGTTTTGTTTTTTTTTTATTCTCAATAAACAATTAGCAAGGGATCAATAAAGTCATATCATTTAAACATCAATTTACAATTAATGGTTGCTGCATGTTGATAGCATTGTGCACTACATAGCTGGTTGGTGAAAGTAAATAGGTGCATGCAGTTTTAAAGATGATGTTTTTAACATTGTTCGATTAGGGTGCAATGTTATCAAAGATTTTTGTCCGATTTAAATTTGATCTGAAATCTTACACTCCTTTGTTCCCTGGAAGGATTAAAAGCTTTATAAGATTATAATCTCAATTTAGTTAGAACTGCTTGAGGTACACTTGCTTAAAATCACAATAAAATTTTGGACAATGAGAACAGCCAACCAATAAATACTTAATGTTTGAAAAGGTAGATCGTAATCTGATCTGTAGAATAAAAATTCATCTCAGCTTAATTAAATAATTATTAGTGTACATGTATATGTCATAGAATATAAAGACCCCCTGGATCCAATTTTACAAAGTACATTTCATGGCAGTAATTATCTAAGTACTTAGTCTTTTGACCTGTCAATAGACTGCATGGGCACTTACTTACATGTAATAAAACAAAAAAAATACTACATAAAACTAAATATCATTAATGGTTCCACTCAGGTATAGGGATTCCAAAATGATTATTAATATAGAAAATATATGACATTGCCCAAGACATAATTAAACTCAGGCCTTGTGCTAAGATTGTGATGAATTATTAATGGATTGTAGCTTTTCCAATGTCTGTTCCGATCAGTAACATTGTTTCTAGTGGAATTTCCATGCGACTTATTGATTTTCTGGAGATGGGATGATATAACAACCATTATTTAAGTTTTTATGTGCATAGTATTGTAGTCCTGACAATATTTCAAAGCCAGTTGACACCCCAGTATCTGTATAATTGCATGATACCAGAAGTGGCCATTTAATCCTTGAATTCTAGAATGATGGTGTGATTGACATGATAACCATATGATACAGCTTTAACTAACCTTTTAATAGTGTATGTGTGATTTGTTTTCTGTATCAGTTAACGCTTTTTAATGCTAGAGCTCGAGAGGGAGAAAAGGGGATGAGGAGATATTGCCATATTTATCGCTGCGTTCAAGTCGATCTGCCAGTCGCCCTGATACAGCCAATGACCAGAGATATAGGCCACAGAGTGCTCCATCTACAAATCAGTACGATGCTGGTGTAAGTTACACGGGGACCAGCTAATATGTAGTCCTTATATACATAACACATATGCAAGGAGCAAAATAAACTAAGGTTGAAATGCATGAAGAAAAGATAACTAAACTAAACTCTGACACTGTAAAAAGTTGCACAATTCCATGGCAATTATTTAATTCTCTTCACTTTATCCATATGTAACATATACAATGTATTACATATACACATACTATCTATATAGTTTACTGCAGTACTGGTTAGCTAGGCTGGTTAATTGTTTTATTTAGATCTTTGTAACATTCATGTTGCTTATATTTATTATCGTATTTTAATAGAGAGAAAAGTAAATTAAACATAACTTAACTAATTTAAATTGAAAAAGATTTATAAGATTCAAGTTGAATTTGACAGTTTATTCATTACATATATTTAGAAACAGTTGAAGTCTACAGTAGTTTGACTAATTTAATGTAATACGCTTGCATGCTTTGACAGGTCTAATGGTGTACAAACAGTTGTGTTGAATAAACATATTTCCTTTGAAAGCATTAACTTTTAATCAAGATACTAAACTAACTTTATTGATTTTTATGTCAATTAGAAATAACAGTATTTAACTCAAATGAAAATACATTAAAGATCCTGAAATACAATGAATTATTAAAATATGTAATGCATGATATTTTAAAATGAATGTTTAAATACCTTTTTTTTAAAAAAAAATTATTGATTTGTCTCTTGACATTACTTAGATTGTGTATGTGGATGAACATGGACGTCGTTTAAGCCCAAATGGCCGTGAAGAATTCAGAACAAAGAAAGCCCGACCAGAGGATTTGGACACCAAACATCTGTATGCTGTAAGTCCTTATAGACAATCTGTATTTCTTTATTGGTCCTTACATGTTATCTGTATTTCTTTATGAACTCTGCAGTCAGCAGAGCATTTATAGTCACTGCCAAAATTATTGATAAGTATATAATGTACTTCAGGGGTCTTTCTATAGCAGTGATCAAGAGAATCAACCCAAACAGGAACTACTGGAGAGAATGCATACAAAATGCTTAGCATTCATTCATAAATGTAAATGTACAGTACATGTATTAAAAGTACCGGGTACTAAGATAAAATAATGAATTTGTTTATCATTGAGCAGCTTGACTCAGCAGCCCTGAGGAAATATGCCTTGCAGTTATCACGTATCGAGCAAGAGTCGATGTCCCCATATCTGATGTCCCCCATCCCCAGTCCACCCAGGAGCCAGAGAGGTAGTCGTGTGGGGTCCCGTGCACAAATACGATCCCGCCCCAGAACAGCAGAACCTCGAGGCAGCATTAGCCCCAGAGAGAAGAAGGTACTTTACGTCTCTTCTTGGCTTTGAGCGTTTTTTTTTTTCTCAACTCTGTTTTCTGAAGTTCAGACTGATATTTGAACTTACATCTGTTTTCATTTTTTTCTTCTAATATCTGTCTCAAAAGTTTTGTGTAAGACCATAATAATAAAATTTTATTTTGAATTTGATATATGTCAAATGGTTAGAAAAAAAACATTTTTTTTTTTTCTGTATCAGTGATATATGATCCCATTGTTTGGTCAATGTCCTGTCACTAATCTCATTGAAATCATGTAACTGATAACACATCATACTTATTGTACATGGATTTCAGTCAACTCAATCATCAGAGAAAAGTTCTGAGAGGAGTTACAGTGTTAACTCTGACAAAGAACCAACCACGAAGGGTACCCCAACCCGTGGGCCACCAAATGGCCACCTAAGACGTCCTCTTAATAGACCCAGAGTTGTGGAAGTATGCATATAGATCCTGCATTCCCTTTACTATTTGTGACATTTCATTATAGCATGCCTCAGTTTCTTAACTGCATGATGATGGGAAATAAGCTTAACAACACAAACCAGAAAAATGCATGTAGAATAATATATATAAAGATTTCTTATTTTTTTTCCCCATATATACCATTTTTTGTTGTAAAGGTATAGTCATAAATGCATTAGATATTTTAATTTAGTTTATGAATTAGTTATTGGGATAACATGCATGTGCCAGCATAACATCTCTCACCTGGTGTCTCCTGTTAACATGTTTAATATAGAGGACCCACATCATTTACTTTCATTTTAATTTAAAAGGTGGCTTAGTTTGTAGATTTCATAAAACTCACCAAGAACTAGTTGGACAAAGATATATTTGCTTAAGATATTATTTTCAAATTGTCAACAAAAAAAATAAATAAATAAATGAAAATAAAAATCCTTTAATTTAAAAAAATTCTTATATTTTACTCTTCTACAGATTGTGTGCATGAGGTTAAAAGATAAATGTGCGAGATTGAGGGCTGCGAATTTACTAAATTTTGTAGTTTAGTTTCCTTGAATCATTTATGCATGTTTTATGTACGTTTTACATATGATGTACTAGGTTTCATTTAGTTACAAGTATTTTTAATACCTCTAACATTTTGTTAGCAAAGTATTACACATTGTTATAGCCTCTTGAATAATGCATGTGAGTATATTCTAGATTTTATGTTTTTGTGCATAGATATTTGATTTATCATGCCTACACTTTTTAAAAAGTATTTTTTGAAATTAAATGAAGGAATTATATGTTTTACAAATTTCACTAGGATAGAGACATCAATGATTTTTTTTTTTTAAACCAAAGTATTAAAATTCAGAATTGCCAATACAGAGTGATATTTTGGCTTTCTACAGGGGACTCTGATGTTGCACAGACAGGAACCAGCCATGATGCACCAGGGAGAGGTCCAGACCCTTTGTGAAATCACAATGAAATATCATGGACCTAACCTGACCCTACCCCGGGATCAGTATGATCCCACCCAGAGTGTCACTATTGATCAACAACACTGCGGAGGAAATACTCTTCCTGTATTCAAAGAAAACCTGAAGCCTGGGGGTATGTACATTTATCAAGGAGGAATTTAAAATCAAATTGGACAAGGGAAATAATGGAATTAAAATTAAACAGAACAATTTTGCTGAAACAATTTAATATATGATGAAAAGAAAATATCCATGATCAAGATAAATGGAAGGAAGCAAGTACTTTAATCATTGAATCCATTTATTTAATTCAGTAGACATTTCAAAAATTTTTTTAATGATTTTTTCCCCTTTTAAAAAAAAAATTCCATGGAAATTGATAAAAGGAAAAAAAAATCAACTGTATCATTTTATAATGGCGCATTTAAATTTTAAGTAACAACTGAGTTCACCAATGTCCCCATTGAAAATGACTTTTAATAGTTTTTATTTTCTTACAGAGCAATGATAGCAAAGAGGACTTTTTTTTTATCAATATATATTGACTTTTTCAGACACCTTCAGCTTTATCTCTCGTCGTCATCGTGGCTATCCCTTCAGCCTGACGATTTACGTTGATGGACGAGTTGACTGTCGTGTTAGCACCTGCTGTGAGTACAAGCATGCTAAAGGAGTCAAGCTTGGTGGCAAAATGGGACATTTCAGTCTACTGAAAGTAGAAGGTGCTACTCCGTGTTATAAGTGAGTAAATGGAATATTTATTTTACTTTTTACAGAAAAAGAAAATTAGACAGTAGCTTCTTTCTTCCATCTGTTGTGTGTTGTCTGTAAACTTTTTGACTCTCCATAAACACTGGGACAATTTCAACCAAACTTGCCATATAGCATCCTTGGGTAAAGGGAATTTAAGTTTGTTCACATGAAGAGCTGCATCCCCTTTCAAGGGAAGATAATTAAGAATTAGTGAAAATTTAATGGCATTTTTAAAAACAGGGGATTTTATTAAATAAATGGGAATATATAGGAAAAATCTTAAATTTTTTTTTTAAGAACAGCAAAGCAATAATTAGTCATTTTAATACAGAAGCATTTCCAGATAGTGTAGATTCAAGTTTGTTCAAATCACGACCCCTGGGGAAGGGTGGGATCATAACAGGGATCAAACTTTTAAATAGAAATAGGCCTAGATAGGAAAGAAATCTTAAAAAATCTTCAAAAGCCAGGATTAGTTAAAGAAATTTGGAAGTATCCTCAGTAAGTGTAAATTCGGGTTTGTTCAAATCATAACATTTTTTGTTTTTGTTTTTATGTTTTGTTTTTTATGTGTTCATAATTTTTGCTATCATGGGAAGGGGGGAGGGGTTATGTTGGGACCACTTATACATTGAAACTTCTCAATACTGAACTGATTTCTGCTTTTCTCTAGCCAAAGTGCTCAAGTGAGTGATGTAGCCCATGGGCCTCTTGTTTTTGATAACACATTTAATTGGAACATTTTTTGAAATGAATATGTTTATAAATATTTTGTAGGTGTAAACTTAATACCCAAGCTAGTCCAAGAAGTTTGAAAAGGCCACCAAAAACCAAAACCCCTAAACAGCCTGAGCAGCTGAAAGAAGAAGTCATTGTTGTTGATAGACGTCATGTACAAGAGCTAAGTGATGAAGGTATGTAAATACATGTGGTAAAATCCTCATCATTTTAATATTAAGATGTAAGTAAATTGTTAAGTAAAGTTACTGATAATTGTCTGTATCCGTAAATCAGTGAAGGAGGAGGAGGAGGAAAATGTGGAAATTCCCGTGGAGGATGATTCCACCCAACAAAAGAACAAATGTGACACATATATTGACCCCAGTCCTCAAGAGGAAGTTGAAAACAATGGTAGATGACCTCAATGTTATAGCATGCTAGAGCCTACCATCAATTATATAATAGAGTGTAGAATGCCAGATGTCTTTTAAGTTCTTTAGTTGCATGAAAAATTGGAGATTTAGGAAAGAGAGACAGAGCTTTTCTGTTGCATCTTTTTTTTTCACCAAAGCCAAATTCAACTAAACACTTCCCATCCAAGTTTGATATTGTGCATTCAGTGATTCATTTTGAAAATGGTTATCATGGGTCCAAAGGACCCCTCTTAATGACAACAATGAGTCCCGTGCCAAAATCAATGCGTCCAAATCCAAGGGTACCGTATATTAGATGATACAGAGGAAATTCTGGTGAAATAAAAAAAGGTATTGCACGAAAGTGCAAATGTTTTATTGTAGCTGTGAATGATTTATACTTTTACTATCAATTGTCCAAGTAAGAGTACATGATTTTGTGTCATAAAAATAATATATTGTCCACTGTGCACTTTGGTTCTATTTTTAGATCGTATATACGATCCCACACATCGTATCAGTCATAAAATGCACAAAAGCAGAATGAAGTAAAACAAAGTTTAAGAAGAAATGACAAATAGTCAGAAATAAAAATGATTAAATTTTATACTTCTTAGCTTGTAAGGAAAAAACGAAAAGAAAAAAAAACAATGATACATGCAGGTTACAGCTTAAATACAAAGGTATAACATTCGCTTCAGAAACGTTCCACACTATAGACATAATCAGTGATAATCGAACTATGCTATCTAACTTTCAAATATTTTCTGATAATTGCTTTTAACTGCAGTTGTGAAATCTGACCTGTTGTTGGCAACCTTATACCTCTTAAAATCGTTCATGCATATCGCTTAGCACGTGGATATGATACAATCGGTCAAGTTTTGAATCAGATTATACCGAAACAATTTAAAATAGTACATGTCCTTCTGTAAATTTATTGCGTCCATTGGGATGCACATTTATTGAAATAATGCGTCCTGAGTAAAATTTGTGCGTAATTTACGCAGGACGCACATCAAAATGAATCACTGCTGCATTTTAAAGAGAATATTTGCATAAAATTATATGTGCTTGTCAAGAAAATAAGGTTTGGTTGATTTTATGTTGTGTAGGAAAATAAGTTATTTATTGCTTGCAAATGGAAATTTTTGTTCAAAAGGAATGCTTTCTTTGTTGTGTGTTAAGCTTTGGTGATGGTAAAACTTTGTTTATGTATTGGGTATTCATTATATTGCTTTGGGTTTCAAGAACATTAAAATCTAGCTATCATTCCAGCTTAAAATTTAATGTATTCAATTACTTCTTAGTTTGTGTGAACAGTGGAATTTTGTTAAAGATATCTTTAGTGATTAAAACTTAATAAGTACATGTAATCTTAAAAGAAAACAGATCTACACGAAGATAATGTAACATGTATTTATATGCAATATATCCTTGATAAATGCAGTCAATAAATCCAAGGGAAAGAATGACCAAAAAGTAGTAATAAAAGAGGAAGTTCAGGAAGAAGTTGCCTCCCCTGAGGAAGCAGGTATCCCTGCTTTGTTGTTGACTATTTGTCTGTGATTCTGTCATTCAGTTTTAATCCCACCATTACCACACAACTTTTGAATGCTCTTCAATTCAGTATATTTAAAAAAGACCTTATCAATACCTTGGTCAAATCAAGATGTCAACTACATGCACATTTAGGAGGCACTGTTACTATTATTCACTCATGGCTTGGCTTCATATGTCTGAGTGAATAATAATCATTTACCATTTTTAAATCTCACCTAACAAAACTGTACATGTGTTGTTTGAATATGCTTGTGACTTTCTTTGTAATAATACCCTATTATTGATAGTGAATATTTGATTACAGGTATATCATCAAAATGTGCATAGATTTAGATTGCTAGATTAAATATTAGGGATATAAGCAAGATTTTTTATCATACAGTTTTGATAATTGTATTCTTTGGAATGATAGTTACTATTCAACATAAATAGGTTGTCTTTAATTTTCTAATATGTGAAATTTAAAAAAAGCTTCAATACATACCACTGTAAATACAGTTTTAATGTTCACTGTATGTTCTGTCCTCATAAAAGACTTGAATGATCTTTGTAGATGACAAATATGAGGATGATTTTGATGATGATGAAGAGGAAAAGAAGGATGAGGAAAAAGGTTAGTCTCATATGTGTCAGTTTCTCAGAAATCTCAAGCTCTGACTCCTTTTTCAAAGCAATTGATTTATGTCCCAGTACATAGATTATTACAGGAATGTAACACTTTGCTTTAGTGGTTGAATTAGTCATTAAATGTGACATGACATTGATTTTTGTAGACGGAAGCATGTAATAGATTTGACCGGATGTGATAAGTTAATTTTGTTGACCCCTATATCATTCTACAAAGCTAACTTTTAGCATAGTTTCAGTAAGTAGGGGACAGTCGTATATATACTCACATGCTTTCAAAGACTGTACCGGAACCCCATGTACTAGCTATAAAGTTAGGACTGGATTTATATTTTATCATTATTGTTTTTATACCATTTTTATTTTATATTAAAAACAGTATGCCAATAAGTACAAGTTCATTTTCTTCTTTTTTGTTTAGTAGATATGTTCATGTATAACTCTCCCTAATTAACAGGAAGTCAAGGCAACTCTACACCAAGGGGTGATTAAATCTCATTGTGAACTGTCTGTTTGTGAAAAAATCTGTGTGACTTTATCACAATTTATAAACACCTTGGTCAGTGAAAATTTCAGACAAAAATTGCAATGTTATCAAAATGGGATAAATGTTGGTAATTTGCATGTTTTTACATTTTATTGTGAAGGTTAGACTGTAGATTTAATATTGTAGTAGTAATTATATGTATTTTACTTGGATAATAAATGTTATTTGTAGTTTACATGTTTAAAAAATTCTACATTTTTTAACTGCAATGTGTTATAAACTCCTAAAGCTTGTAGATATTAGGTATATCATGTCGTAGTCATATCTTTCTCCTTGGCAGGGGGTATATAATACTTCAAATCCATAATTAGATCTCCTATCAATTTTGATTCAGATATTGATTTATAACATATTGAAGTGATCAGTTATTTTCCCTGACCAAGGTTAAGGTATGAAAACTGCATGTGTGGATTTAAAACTAAATTAATGGGATTTTTCAAAATTAAAGATCAGTCACATTCCAGTGTGCCTTTTGTATATATATATTTTTTGAACATTTTTAAAAATAATTTTGCAACAAAAGATTTTTGATTCTTAAGTAAAATGTATTATTTAGATAAAAAAAAACAGATTTTTTTTTTCAAATAAAATACATTAAATTTTTAGGGGAAAAACATTAATATGTTATTAGCTTTTATTTTTTTAAAAAATTGTTTTGATATCTTGATTTTATAATGTGATTGATTATCCAAAATCCCTCATGTAAAATTTTCCAATAATCGAAAACAACCACAAGGCACAATCACATTTTTTTTGTGTTCATATGCTTGCCTTTTGCCTTATTTTTAATTGAAGTCACTAATTAACTGATGTTGTTTGACAACTGTGACTACCACCTTCCCAATCACCTGTACACAGTCCTTGGCCATCACATACCACAATGTACCAGATGTTGACCATCTCATAGTAAGGTTAGACTTTCAGTCAGCTCATAAAAATATGTATTTAAAAATTTTTCATGTAAAAACAATATTTAATTGATGTGGAATTTTAAAGTATTTTGAACAATTCTGTCCTGATAACTATTTGCAGGAGTTGTTTATCATATTTCAGGAATCCGTGGTGAAAATGATGGCAATTCAGAGGATGAAAATACCTTGGAAAATCAAACACAAGATAATGAAAAAGATGGTGTAGATGGCATGGACTGCAAAGAACAAAATCCCAAAGCTGCAAACAAGCAAGTCAGATTTAATGAAGAGGTCCAAAAAATGGGGACTCCTGACACCTCAATGAGTAAGTTAGGAGTAATGAATGATGAGGATGACAAAGCAAAAATTGAGGATGTGAATCCGAAAGATACAAACATTAAGGAATTGAATGGTCTTATCAACCAAGATGATGAAGGTGCCATGGATACATGTGATGAAGTATCTGAAATAGAGACTGATCTTGAATCTCCAAGAAAGCAAAAGGAAAATGAAAAGAATGAGGAAGAGGCAGAGAAAGAAGAACAAGAAAGCAACAGTAATAAAACCCAAGAAAAACATGAAGATAAACTTGTTAGTAAGGAAACTGGTGTTGAAGCTTCTGGAGTGACAAAGACTGAAGATGACAACAACTATTACTCTGATGACTTTGAAGCTTCTAGTGGAAGCACAGTAATGTCTGATAAAACTTCTGACAAACAGAAAAAGAGTTCACCAAAGGAAAGGGACATTTCAGTCCCATTACCTAGAGCTAACAGTCAGGGTGAGTATTATGATGAAGCATATGCATGTGATGGAGACCAGCTTTCACTGCATGATGAAAATGCATGCATATCTGTAAATGTGAACACAAAGCAAACTGATGAAACAATGAGTATGAAGTCATTTGATGATGAAAAGAAATACTATGTGGATGAAGATAGTGAAACTGAAGAAATGAAGAAAGGGCCTTTGCAGACCACTTACGAGGACATGAACATAATTGGACCTTTGGCAACACTTCTAATGAAAGTCCGAAGAAAGAAAAAAGAAATGCAATCCAGGTTGTCAATTGATTCAGAAAGTGATCCAGATGGACGAGAGGCTTCAGAGGGATTTGGTTCTTCAAGTTCTCTTGAAAAAGAATCAGCTAGAGTAGGTTCTCAGACCTCATTATCATCCTTACCATTTGAAAATCAACCTAATGGAAAGAAAAAATTACAACCAATTGTAATAGAAAAGAAAAAGAAGAAAAAGAAAAATTCAAGCACAAGTTCCCTAACAGACAGTGGAAGAATATCTTCGGAGCCAAATACCAGGCCAAGAAGATTATCAGATGCTAGCATAAGAAGTTTTGATAGTCATAAGAGTGTTGAGCATCAAATGATGGAGGCATCACAAGAAGTTGTGAAGGCCGTTCTAGAATCTCAGAAGCAAATGGCGATTTCAATTCAGCAAGTAACAGAGTCATCCAAGCTTGTTGTAAATTCTTCAAAAGAAGTATTGGAGTCAAGTAAACAAGTAAATGCATCTTCTAAACAAGTTAATGAGTCTTCAAAACAGGTCAATGAATCATCAAAACAAGTGGTTGAATCTTCTCAACATGCCATACAAACGGCAATGCATGCAATTAAGTCCATTAAAGAAGCAGAAAAAGATTTTTCTGAATTGATAAAAGATGAAAGGAAATCAGAAATAATAGAAAAAAGTTCAGAAACAGAACAAAAATCACCAGAAATACATGTATTGCCAAAAAGCACAGAGAATGCCTTTGTGGATAAATCTGAGGTTGATTCTGGCAGTAATACGGCAGCGATGGATGACGGAAAAAGTATTGAAGATCCAGAAATAGTAAATATTAGTAAGTCAGAAGTAATGGAAGAAGACAATGAGGTACTTAAAGAGATATCGCCTCCTTCTCCTACTGCTGAAAAATCTGTACTGTTCCATTGTGAAGATTTTGAATCTTTGCCTGTTGAAGATACTGTTCACAGCATAGATGATAAAATATTTCATGAAGTGATAGGTCTAATGGACACATTTTCATCACCTGATATTCCTCATAGGTCAAACAAAAGTCACTTGCCAGAATTACATAAAATCAACTTGTTTTCAGCTCAGGATATAGATTCAGTGCCTTTGCCTGATGATGTGAACCAATGTGAAGAATTAGTGAGTATTTTTGACCTTCTGAAAAATGAAAACAGAGATGAAATTGACGGCGAAGTACAAACTAATGCTGATGAAATGCACATTCCAACAGAATTTCAGTATACTGATTTTAAAACATATTATGATAGAAAGGAAAAGATGTCAGATGTGAATGGAGATGATAATTTGAAGGAATTTTCACTTTCTGATGCCATTAAGTGCTCAGAAGAAAATGAGAACTTGTATAATTCATCATCGCCCTTTTCAAGAAGAAAATCGGAAAATCCAAATCTGTTTGAAAAAGAGAGCCTTTTAGATAAGAAGAAAAGATCACAGTCCATGCCTGTGGCTGTTCAGAAAAAGGAAGTAGAAATCATCAAACCAAAAACCTTTGTTTATATTGCAAAAGATGAAACTTTATACACAGAGACTGTTGATGTAAAATGTAGAGAAACTTTGACCTTAGATAGTTGTGACACCCAGTCATCAGTTAAGTCATTTACTCCAGGAAGTATTTCTCTTACCCAGGAAAAAGTTGGAAGTAGCAAAACTAGTGAAAATTCAGATTCTTCTATTCTTGTTCACAAAAGCTCCGAAGAAGATGCGCTGATAAGTACAAGTATGTCAGAGGATCAACAAGTTGACAAAATATCATTAAACACGAGCGGAGAAGCGGAACTTTTTGTTGAAGAGTTGTTGCAAAACATTAGAGGAATGAACAAAAGTCAAGAAGATGATGATAAGAATATTCAGATCACTGACGAAGTCAAAGATGAGGACACAATATCATTAGATACAAACAAAGAAGCAGAATTAATTGTTGAGGATGTGTTTCAAAAAATAAAATCAGAGAATATGCCTTCATTTCTTGGACAAAGTAATATAAAGGAATCTACAAATGAGAAGCCGCGTACACCACGCACAGATCCTGATGGTCAGGTCACACATTATGTCATCAATGAATCATCTGATATCAAAGAAAATGTAGATTACACCAAGGGTAATGCAGAGGGTCCGTTGAAAAGTTCATCGGATGAATATGATGATAATTCTTTGAAAACACTTTCTGCAGAAAAAGATGATTCGATTAGCAAACCTAGACCTTTAAGACGACAGGGTGCTGTACAGAATCTGTATGAAGCAGTCGACAATGAGACAAAATGGTTGCTGGAGGAAGTAGCACGTGAAACATGTTCAGCTCCAAATGAGGAAGATAATCTTTCTATGTGCACTAGCGAGGAAGCTTCCATCCTTGTGAAAAGGGTTATTGAAGGGTTATCACACGAGGAATGTTTAAAAAGTAAAGACATTGCCAATAATCAAGACAATGGTAACAAATCTAATGGTAGTAACTCAGATGATGCAGCAGAAATTGCAAACACATTGAAAACAAGCAATAATTTAGCAGTTTCAGGGAATATTGCAAGAGAGACTAGGTTCAGTCCAGCACCTAAAGATGAAATGGAGGAAAATTGCTTTCAACCTATCAAGAAAGAGGATGAGGAAAATGCAGATGAAAGCAAAAATCAGCCTGATACCGAAATGCTAGATGTGCGAGATGAATCGGAAATGTCAAATACTGAAATATTAGAACCTATCCCAATTGAAAAAGAAGACAGAGCTATTGAATGTCCAGTTCTAGATAATACAGAATCAACAAATAATTTGCCATCTTTGGTAAAGACTAAATCTGGAGCAATGGTTGTCAAGTATCCAGAGTCATCACAACAGACACATCCTTCTAAGGAGGAAGAGGAGGAGATTAACAATTTAGTCAACGAGGAAATAAAAGCAATGGCAGAATCTGATGATACTCAAAAGGATAGAGAGGATAAAACTACACCATGTATTACTGTTACAGAAGCGAGTGATGGAGGGGGGAGTGATGAATCAACTGCTGGGCCTAAAGATAAAACAGATATCAGCGAGGAAGATAATGAAAACAAAGAAGAAATGACGACTGAAGTGGTAGCAAGTGCTGTAATATGTAATGAAGAAGAAAAATCTGAACAAACAGCTGAAAAAAAGCAATGTGAGTCAGTTAAGACGAAAGCAAATTTAAGTGAAAGGCAAGATTCAGCTGCATCTATAAGTTCGAGTTCTGAGTCGTCAGAAACAGATGTTAAGTTTTATATGAATGGCGAAGAGGTTAAATACCCAAAAGAAGTTCAAAATGGAACGCCAGCAGAAGGAACACCTAATCTACTAGAAATCGATGGCCAGATTATTGATCTAGATAACCTAGAAAGCTTAGATAAAGAGACATACAAGAAAGTTATGGCCGTGGCCTATAATATTGATGTTATGTCTACAATTTCGGAAGAACATTCAACAAGCCAAAGTACTGCCCATTTATCAAATAAATGAGGAATAAGCTACTTTTGTCTGGCACTATTCTTCTTCAGGGTTCAATTTCTACAGCTATTCTTTCCTTTGCATGCGTTGTATTGTATCACTCCTTTGACATGAGTGTGTTTGAGTCATCTCGCTTAGCAAAAGAGCAACGTTCATATGTGTTTCTTAGTACTATATGATATTAACTGATCAGCATAAAAAATGTTTTTGTGTGTCATGAGAGTTTATTTTCGTAGCTTTTTGCTATTAAGTTTCATTCTGTATTTTCAATCATGGATGGAACAAATTAAAAGAACACCAATTTCTTGCATCTTCTGTAGATGTTGCATGTTTATATAATTACATTGGAAATTAAGTTATCTGCATGCATGGATTTAGCAACACTCTTAAAAGAATCTACGGCATTGAATTTTTCTGCTAATAATTCATTATTTTTTTTTTATTCATTTAGATATGTATAAAGACAAATTTTCTTTTTTTTTTATTCCAGCTAATTTGCAAGATAAGATAGACTCTCTTTCGATAATATCAGAAGAATAAACCGTTTTAGATAGATACTGAGACTGTACGAAGTCATGAATGATATTTTGACACATCGTTTCTGAATCATTGCTTATAATTTGATCTGAAGATATGGATATGGGGAATTTTGGTGTCCATGTGGCAGTACTCATGATATGATTCGCTTTTGTTTTTGAATTTTGACACTGTAGATAAAGATATTTTAGACCATGCAACTTTTTTGTTTATGTTGCATTAATTCTATTGATGATGCTTCAAAACAGTGTTTTAGTTACCTTAGAACTGAAGTTTATGTCTGAGATTATTGTTCAGGAAAATTTTTGTTTTGAAATTTAATTGATGTATTTCAACAACATTAAAGAAATTTCTTTATTTGTTGAAGAAATGAAATAAAAATTTCCCATCCCGTGTAATCATGACTCTTTTTGTCCTGCATGGCAATGGGGCAATATTATGAAATAAATGAAGTGTTACATTTAAAGAAGTTTTCATCTGAAATGAAAAAAAAATACTAAGACCAATTGCTTTGAAAATATGGAGTGCAGAACAAACATAAATGTCTTTTGTGCAACATGGATGATTTAATATTGATAAGGTAAGAATTTTAATTTATTTTGATATTACAGTTTTATTTTTTTTTAATAAATATCATAGTATGTATAGAAGTATGTTAAGCAATGGAATCATAGATGACAAATACAATACTTGCAGAAAGACCCAAGTCAGCCTCCTCAAGATCATCTTCAAGATCATCTTCTAGGTCTTCTTCCCCATCACACTCTGAAGAGGAGGAGGAGGATGTTGATAGAAATGCTGTGACTCATATTGTGTATGAGGATAAGAAGAAGACAGGGATTGTAGGACTTCCTGCTGATGAAGACACTAAAACAGAAAAGACGGAGACGGACAGGGACAGCGTTAGTGATATAAGAAAGGTAGTAGTAACTATTTTTAACAATTTTTTTTTTGCGCAAAAAGCAAGTCAAATGAAAGATTTTCTTTATTGTTTATTCATTGATACAATTGTAAATAACTTAGACAAACTTTATAGAGATAGAATCTGTATCATATTACTTTCATATAACGCAGGTTTCTGGTTATTCTGATGAAGAAGAGTACCCTGATGGAGAAAAATATAGTAAGGAGGAAAATGTGGCAACAAAAGGTATTACTCTTTATTGTTTGCGACCTATTGTATTTATATGACTTAATTTTATGTGAGCTTGTATAAATCTACAGCATAATTATATATAATATATTATCTCAAAGTTGAAATGGAGTTGTATATTGTATATACTGTGTCATTGCAATCAATTAGACTAACAACTCCACACCGTTTAACTTTTTCTGTTGAAATATTTTAAAGATACCATACTTTTTTGAAATTCCATGCATTCAGTTTCTCATGTTTCTGATAGTTGTACCAGAGCAAAAGACAAGTTTCAGAAGACGAAGTTCATCAAGGTATGCTCAACATATATATGATCATACGATCATCTCTTTAGTAAATTATAAGTTAGAATAATTGTAAAAAATATAACATTTTCTGTGTACAAAACTTTACAGTTCATCATCAAGCTCGTCAAGCTCCAGGTCGAGATCAAGAACACCAGAGAAGGTCATTATTCCACAATCTAGAACACCAGCAAGATCACCTTCCCCTCCTGAAAAGAGAAAATCTCCATCTCCTGAATTGAAGAGAAAGTCCCCATCTCCTGAGCCAGCAAGAAGATCTCCTTCTCCAGTAAGAAGATCTCCTTCTCCTGTAAGGAGAACATCTACATCTTCAGAGTCATCCACATCATCCGTACATGTATCAGAGCCTGAAGAGAAAGAGGAACCTGCAGAGAAGGTTTTAATTGGAAAATCAGTACGAAATGCTGATACTCACACACCGCAGAAGACACCCATTATAAGAAAGGATTCTGTACCACTGGAATTTAATTACACAAGTTATTCAGAATCAGTTGCAAGTAGTGATGTTGGAAAACCAATTGCTGAAGAGGAAGTTCGTAGACAGCGGCCTTTATCTCCACTTCCCCAAGAATTCCAATACAAGAAAAAATTTGAAGAAGATAATGTAAATCAGCCAACCTCAACAATGCCAACTCTTGCTAAGAGTTTCAGAAAAGTTTCAACGTCGTCAAGTTCATCGTCAGATGAGGAGAAAAAACAAGTCACTACCACTGCAACTATAGAGAAACAAAAATCTGCTTCAAGTGAATCAGAGAGTGAAGAGAAAAAGGGAAGCTCAAGCAGTAGATCAAGTTCCAGCACAAGCTCATCAGAAACAACAAAAGATGTTTCTGGAAAAGATGCCAAAGAAAATCAGAGTACTTCTAGTCCCGATTCAGGGACTGTTGAAAGTAAAACAATAGAAAAAGAGACCACAGTTGCCCAAAAAGAGAAAAGCAGTAGCAGCAGTTCCTCTAGTGAATCCTCTTCGGAATCAGAAGCAGAAAGGAAGACAACTCCTCCAAGAAAGAGTCCATCCCCACCTGCTAAGGTTGAATCAAAGAAGGAATCTTCCTCATCAAGCAGCTCATCTAGTGAGTCAGAAACGGAAACAGATCGGACTGAAAATGAAAAAGCAAAACAGACTCCGAGCCCTGTGAAAGAGGAAGAGAAAGAGTCACTCAATCTTCAAATGCGACAACAAAGAAAACTGTCTACCAGCTCTAGTAGTAGCTCAAGTAGTTCATCCTCAGAAACAGAGGCAGAGGAACAAAAGCAAACCAAACCATCATCTCCACCTGTTCAAGAAAAGGAGCAAACGGTAACAACAAAGGAAGAAGAGAAACCTACACCTGTAGGAGAAGCAAAGGCAAGTTCAAGTAGTTCTGATTCGAGTAGTAGTGACTCATCTGAAACAGAGACTGATAGATCAGAGAAGCCACTGGCAACAACAAAAGCCCCATCGCCGCCTCCTGTTCAAAAGCCACCATCTCCTGTACAAGAAAAGGAGGAGGAAAAGAAATCTCCAGCAGAGGATATCAAAAAAGGTACATCCCTTTACACTAATTTAGCATATACAGTAAAAGTCCGTCATAAAGAAGTCTGTTATAAGTAAATCTCGGTTATAAGGAGTTTTTCAATAATCCCTTGGGCCACTTTCAACTATATAATATAAAGAATCTTGGTTATATAAGGATATATACGAGATGTGAACTTTGAGGTCCCCGTGACTTCCATATAACTGATTACGTTTTGTTCATAATAAAATAAATGCTTCCATAAATTTGGAAAATAAATAAGCTAGAAATATAGTGATGACTTTATTAGATTTTGTTTATCCTTTGCTTGAACTAATGGGATTTGCTTGTCTTTCTCTATTTTCCATTTTAAGATACAATGTAATTTGGGGTTTTTTCACACAATAATGGCAAAAAGTTTCTTGTTTTCTTAAAATAGAAATCCTTAAAGGTAACATATATGAGTTATATTTAGGCCCACCTATGCAATTTTTTAAAACATTTATGAAAAAATAGTGGAATAAAAAGTAGTAGAAGGTTGTCTTAATATCATTGAATACAAAATGATGGAGCTAAATGTCTACTTTCAACTACTAGCGAAGCTTTATTATAAATCAGTGTCTCTTTCTTTGTCAATCTGCTCATTATTTCTAGAAGTTATTGTAGATTAAGTAATATTAAAGCTAAAGCAATGGAACTTTCAAGGTATATTAAGCCATCTTATCCATTTCTTCCTTTTGATTGTTGCTTTATTAATTTTGCACTAAGTAGGTTAACTCAAAGCATGGCTTTTTGAAAAGGTATACTTGTATTCTGAACAGATGAGTCCAGTGGAAGTGAGGATAGTAGTTCTGACTCGGATTCTGATTCTGATTCTGAAAGTGAGGACAATGAGGAAGAGAAAAAGAAATCCGAAGGTACGCAGAGATAACGGCATAACACTGTGCTTTGTAATGATTCCACAGATATTAAGTGTATTTTATGCATCTGAAGAATAAAAAAATAAATTGTTCATGATTTGCATTGACCTACATGCAAAATCCAATCATACAACTATAGATGCATATACTTTTTGAGGCAACGACCAGCCTAAATTCTAAACTAGAGGCCCATGGGCCATTAAGCTTACCTGGGTAACTAATGGCCCTTCTGTATTTCAGCAGCAGATTTTCCGCTATATTTTCCTATGTAGAATTAAGATAATTGATTGTGCCCCCACCCTACCCCCAGCCCCACACTACCCCAAGGTGTCATGATTTGAAGGAAATTGAATCTGAGAATGCTTCCATATAAATATGACTAATTATGACTTTGCTGTTCTAATAAGAATTTCCTATACATTCCTATTTAACATTTGATTGCCCATCATGACCCCACCCATCCCAGGGGACATGATTTGAACAAAAGAACTATGCACGCTAACTCTCGATTCCCGCCTACATTTTATACCCATTTAATTCAATATTAATGGCAATTTGGCCATAAAATCTTTGTTGAATGCAAAGAAGAGTTCAATGGTAATTGAGTAATAATTTTAATACCAGTGTTAAATAGTAAATTTCTCTTAATTCCAGCTCCTTTTATAAGGGAGGTAGACGATGTTTTCCATAGAAATTGGACTTGAAAGCATCAGCATATTTTAAAATATTCTTGGATATGGATAAAAGTTCCTTAAATCTTTTCTTATGTTTTACGCATTTGAAATTAAACACATGTAATTGATAAAATACGTTGTTTAAGTTGTAAACCCCTTCGAAATTGGTGAAAACATGAGCAATGAGCATTTTTGTCATTTTTTGTCTGTAAACATATGTTCCCCCCCCCCCCCCTCCCCCATGAATCACAAAAAGCATTGGTATGAATTGGTGAAATAACAATCCATATTACCTGTAAAAGGAATTTTTGTTTCCCGGGGGGGGGGGGATGTTTTAAAAATATTTTCCATTGATTTCTATAGTGAAAAACACAAGTTTTACCAGGATTATAGAGTTATCTCTCTTTGTTTTCCCAATTAAGTAATGATTTATAAAAATTTATATAAATATCTATATAAATATGAAAAATCATTCAAATGTGTTACTTTTTGAAAATTGACTTGGAGGTACAATGTAGGCGGGAGAACAATACTATCGTTCACAGTTCTTTAATCTAAACTACCTCAGGATGCTTCCACATAAATATATCTAATCATGACTTTGCTGTTCTTGATAAGAAGAATTTTTAAGCTTTTTTGTATGATTGTCGGTAGTGGCCTCACTCTACCCCCGGATGTCATGATGTGATACACTACCCCAGAAAGTTTTCACCTTAGTTTCATATTTTTTCTGGCCCAATGGTTCATGAGAATAAGATTTTAAAATTACATAACCCAATTTTCACTACTTCTTAATTATCTCCCTTTGGAAGAGAATGCAGCCCTTCATTTGAATAAATTTGAATTCCCTTCACCCGAGAATACTGCAAAGTTTGGTTGAAATCGGCTCAGTGGTTCTGAAGAAGAGGATGAAAATGTGAAAAGTTTGTGACGCGCCGACGAACGACAGACAACGGACAAATTTCGATCAGAAAAGCTCACTTGAGTCTTAGGCTCAGTTGAGCTAAAATGGTTTTTCAATACAAAATATGAAAAAAATAAAATGGAAATCAAGTGTCAAAACTAAGAATTTAATTCACATAGTTTTAAAAAAATGTACATCTTAGGCCTGATCACATGTGACACTAACCTGTTTTCTCGTCCACAGGGCAGGGCGAGCAGCAATCTTCAGGAGCAGTAGCCACCTAATCCTTCTATCTCACTAACTCAATGTCGTAGTGCACTGTTCTCTCTTTGTCTCTCACTTAAATATTACTTTGACATTTTATTCGGAATTTCATCCATAATCTGTTTGAAAATTGAATCGAGAAAGTAAAAGAAAATTTTTAAAAAGCTTAATATTATTATAGTGAAGATTAGTATAGGTAGAAGTGTGTAAATCTATTTTATGGGGCCTTGGATGATTTAGGTTATTTATATTGTTTTTATTGTGAAATTAATTATTGCATAAATGTTTTTGTGTGAATTTTTGTGATAAGTTTTCCTTCCATCATGTAAATTTGCGGAGTTTTTTCTGTGCTTTTCCTCGTATACGTTGATAAGCATGAATGAATATCGTATAATGATCATAATAGTACTACAGCTTAACGATTTATTTGCAATTGCTTGTTAACTAGTGTGTGATATGTATAAATGAAATAACTTCACAAATTTTTGTGTGCAAAATCCCTCTTGTTGTCTTTTGGCCTTCGCTCTGATTAAATTTTTAAATGTTTTATCAATCGCTGCTGCCCTCCCTAAACACTTAGCATGAATAAATAAAACACTTAAGGGTTGTACTTTGTTCACTGATCAACTAACAAATCTTTCTGTGTACCTCTGTCAATCTTGTTTAACTGCTCCACTGGTGGGCCTTCGAACAATCAAGACAATTAGGAAATAGGTATGAAATTCAAACAAAGGTTATAACTTTATATGCTTTGTCTTGTGTTTTAGCTTGCAGTTAATGATTGGGAAACTATTATAGTGTACACTACCTCTCGTAAATCACTTGTTGTTACAAATTCACAGATGCACTAGAAGCCTTTGGCTTGTCATTTATTCTTACGTTATACATCTTTAACTGTTCTTTTAGAAATAATCAATGTTAGATGTTGAAATTATTCAAAAACAATTCAAATGATAAAATATTGATAAGATACAAAAAGCATGTAATCATTAAAATGTCTGATCACACTAAATGCATCTAAATTTGAATTAAATGGTAATTTACTTTATAATGATATAAACATTGAGATAGTCAACAATCTAGTCAATGTTTTGGTTTGGATCCGTACGAGTGATTAGTTTTCTTTCACTAGAACTTAATTCGGCGTTATTTTGATTGATGTTTCTTATTTTTTGCTCTCGTTTTTTTTAAGTTTCAAAAATCGCATAAATTACATCCATGTTTGATATTCTATAATCTTAATTTTTTCACCATTATTATACATTATTAACAATTTCATAAATGTCGTAAGACTGTTTTTTAAAAAAATGCATTAAAACACTTGTACATCCATGATCTTACCCCTGATGTTCTCTCTTAATCTTAATAACATTGTGCGAACTTATACTTGACATGCCTATTCTTGTTGCAGAAAGAAATGGTGAAAAAGATGAAAACGTTCAAAATTCAAAACCTGATAAAAAGCTTACAGATTTGCCTGTAAGTGAAAGTGATACAGATAAAAAGGTGTCGATATTCACGAGTGATACGGATGGAGACAACATGCATGGAGGTAGGCATTCTTATCGAAGAATGATGTGTTTAAGTTCTATAATTATCTAAAGATTTCTACAAACCTTCGACAAAGTGTGAAGATTTAAGCATTTTTCTTTGATAAAAAATGTTAATATAGTTTTGACTTACTGCTTTTATAATCATAAATGTAAAACAAAACTGATCTTTTTAAATGGGTATTCATTTGTTCTAAATAACGATATACAATTGTATATGCAATGAGGAAAATTGAAAAAAAGAATACTTTAAAATGTAACCTGTAGAAAAGAATATTTTATCTTAGTATCACATTCGTTTTCAAAAATGCCAAGGAATCTAATTAAATATTCTTTTTTTTTATTTTGGTAGTATTTTTTAAAAACAATTTTCACCAACTGTACATTCCTTCCGAAAAAAAGATGGAGAACTTGATTATTACTTTACCTAACATTTCTCAATTTTCGACCGTCATTTACACACAAGTTACTAAATGTCCTTAGAATTTGTTTTATTCACATGTATCCCATGTAAGTCACATCAATTTATATAACCATTATTTGACTACTGTTATAGAGATGGTCCCAGTGAAGACGAAGTGTTTGTACTAATATTGGTTACTAACCTGTGAATAAAATATCATGCTTATCGTATTTGTCTTCTTTATCAGGCAATGATCCAGATGATGTGGAGGGTGGCGGTGTTGGCACATCTTACCTGTCTCGTATTGGAGTCAAACCAGGAACTCCGGTTGAGGGATCAATCACTCCGTTGTTTGAAGGAAAACCAGATCTAGATCTAAACAGCATAGCTCTCTCTGATAAACAAGTAATTTGATTTTGATACCTTGAGAGATAATAAGCATCAAGGAGTGATATTTTTGGAAGTTTATTAATACATCATTTTTTTTCTCGGTCTGAAGGAAATTATATTTGTTTTTAGGTTTTAGAAATAACGGATTATTTGATAAAGCAAGATGATGTGAAGACGTTTTGCGTACGAAATGCTAGTCTGGACAATGAGAAGTTTTTGAATGTTGTAAGAGCCTTGAAAACCACAAAATCTGACATTCAGGTAAATGATATTTTCCTTAAGTTCTTTTATCTTTGTTTTACGTAGCTTTAAGCAACTAATTATTTCACTTTTCTGACGTTTTTCTTTTAGATGGTGAATTTAAACTTAAATAAATTGAATGCAGCATCTGCAAAGGAAATTGGCGAGCTTCTTGTAGAAAAGCCGTCACTGCAAGTTTTGCTGTAAGAAATTTTTGCAATACTTTGTCTTCTTTTTTTTCATCAATGTATAGTATTATTTCTCTCATATGTAAATATAAAATTATGAAAGACCATTTAAATTTTAATAGGCTCCATGGAAACCCTCTTGGAGACATGGGAACTAAATACATAGCAAATGGCCTTCTAGATGTTCATGCTGCTTACCTTTCACACAAAGACGAAGAAAATCAGCCAAAGTACTGTCAGCTTCAGGAATTGGATCTTGGGGATACTTCCATGGGCGATTCTGGAATGGAACACATATCAGCGCTTCTAGAGGCGAACACACCATTGAAGACCCTGAATCTCAACGGGAACACTAAAATCACATTGGCGGGATGGAAAAGATTGGCAAAGGCACTGAAAAGGAACACTACACTACAGACATTATCACTAGACTTCAACAAGATCGGTGATTATGGCATCTCTGCTCTTGTCAGTGGATTGAAAGATAATCAGACGCTGAAGGTACTGGAGTTAGAGGAAGCGTCAATTTCAGAGGAGGGAGGAAGAAAATTGGTTGAGCTGTTAAAATGTAATACTACTATTTTGGATATTACTGTCTCACCTGGAAATGCCATACCTGATAAAGTTAGAGGCGAAATTCTTAATTATCTTGGCCTTAATAAAGCTGCTTCTCAACCTAAATCATTCAGATAGATTGTTTATTTAAACACAATTTTTTTACTTTTATGCAGTTTTAGTATATAGATATAATTTTTTTTTATCAAAAGTTTATGATGCTTAAGAGATGAATGTGCTATTTTTGTTGGGTTTGGAAAAAAAAATAAAGAAAGGAAGTATTTGTGGGATATGAATCAGTTTAGAGCTTTCAGAAATATAGACAGTTAAGAAGTTGATTTTTATTTTTTTGTAAATAATAAGTATCATTTTGTGTTAGATATGTGTAATTGTAGAATGACTGTAGTAATATGTTGTTGATTTAAATTCCTTCATTTTCATGATGATTAAAGTTTACAAGTGTATTTCTGTTACTACTTCATATTTTTTCTTTGGCATTGTGAAGCGAAGATTTTTTTCTTTTAATTATTTAACTTTAAAAAAAAAATAATTTGGTATTCTAGAATTCATACCTGCATCCGAAATGGACATTATTAGGTTTGTTTTATTTAAATGCCAGATAGAATTTATAGAAGGTATTTGAAATAGATTTAGTATTCCTTTATACATATATCTGGTTGAACAATCGATTTTCCGTCCTATAATATATTTACAAGAGCATATTTTGTTGTATTTGCACTGTGATCAGTCTTTTTATTGTGGAAGTACATGTATACCTTAAACACACACGTCTCAAAAGAACCCTGTGATAATTTTATGTATTTTATCTTAAGTTGATGTGTGAGTATTTTATAGTCCTCAGCATAAAACCCCAAAACAGTTCTACTTGAATCCCAAAAAGGTACAACGATATCGATTAAGCCTTAATGAGGTTATATGACATCAGTTGGTTGTGAATTTTTCTCTTTTCTATAATTTTTTATGAAATATTTTGGTTATCATTTTTGGATCTTGCTCAGGCCCGCTCATAACATTTCTATATACAATATTTCAGAAGGGACATATATTTTTGCTGCTATTTTAGTTTTAATTTGTGGGTAATAGTATGCTTGTATTCCAGATGTAACAAATGTTTGTTGTTTGTTAATTGTTAATGTTGATAAATATGATTCTGCCATTCCATGTAGTCTGTGCATAGTTAAATAAAGTCTAGAATTAATAAAGTGTGACTGATGTTTTTCTTTGCCCAAATAATTAATGAATATTATTTTATTTTGAATTATAGCATGATTTGTAAATTCTGTTTTTCAATAATGGGATAAATTCAGTTACAATCTCAGACTTTTGTTACAAACTGATTTACTGGCAGATTAAGAATGTGAGACTTAAGGTAAAGATACTTATGGAACACATTACAAAATAGAGGATGTGACATACGATGTATTGGGACATGATTAATACCATACTTAAAAGACTGCATAGGTGATAAACTTCATTAATTAAAGGAAACTACATTTTAACGTAAATACTTTTGAACTCTGAGATGAAAATCAGTTTGCCGTTTTTCAGTTAAAAAGAAAGAAGTAATAAAACATAATTATATACGTAGGAAACGCGCATCATCGTATCCCGGTTAATAATTCACATCTTATCTCGACTTTTAAAACGAATATTTAAATGCACATGCATGAGGCACGTGTTATCTTAGTTTATGTCTACTTCCTGGTCAGTAGAAATATCGATTAAGTTGTCAATTTGAAATGAAAAAGGTTTGGGGATTTAATGTCTAACAATTTGAATATTCTAACATTTCAAAAATGAATAGATGAATAGAAATATTCCTGTAAAGATTTAATTTAAATAACATTGATACATGTGCAAGAATGTTTTACCATTTAGTGCTTTATGTACGCAAGGTCAAACGAAAACTAGAAATCATAGAGCCAACGTTAATGTAGTTTCAAAGTGACCCAATGTTTGGATACTCAAGATAGTGAAAATATTTTTCTGTTTGCTTGTTTTATGCTGCAAATCGTTTTACTATTCTGAAAGCAAGATCCCCCTTTGGTTAAATTGGATATCATTTTTTGCTAAAGATAACTTTTGTGCGAGAGTTACCATCTAAACAGAAAGGAAAATCTCCTTATGCCTAAGAAATTTCTTTTAAATACAAATCCTCTTTTCAATTTTAGTGATAGACACACAATGAAATGTATGGAGATAACGAACAGTATTCAAGCTCAAAAGTCCATTAAACAATACAAATTTTGGAGCAGAGCAAACACGAACCTCTAAAACATCAGAGTTGGGATCAGGTGCCATGGAGGAGTGAGCATCCCCTGCCGACCGGTCACACCCGCCGTGTGCTCCTTGTAATGATCGGGTGTTAACGGAAAAAATCCGTCAACAATTCAGTGTGTAAATAATGGCCTAACAATTAGTATGAAAAACGTCAGTCAGCATTTGACTTAATGGTAAATTGTATTTGCTGACAAGGTCATTGTATCGACCAAAGAACTTACGAAATGACGACTTTAAACGAGACTGCTGATATTCTTGTTTCATCAACTTGTTTGTCAATAACTTACCTCGTTTTAGAAATTGTTCATACGTAGAGCATGCTCTTGTGCATCGAATCAGTGCAACTGAGAGATATAAACCCCGTATACAGGTGATGAAGGTACATTGCTGCATAAGTAAGGAAAGTTGACTATTGGAAAGTTAAAGTCATCACGTTTATCATTAAGCTTGGTTGTTAGATTACCATTAACGTCTTTTTCTAGTAAAATATCCAAATATGAAACAGATGTGTCAGACTCTGTGGTATCTTTTATTTCAAGCTCACTGCGATATATACCGTTCACGGGAGTTCAGTCGGTAGAGCGCTCGCTCCGTGATCGGGAGGTCGTGAGTTCGAATCTCGGCGCCTTTCCTGAAAATATATCTGAGATTTGATAATTTTCCCTTTATAATATGATTAACTTTAATGATGAACTTTGAAGAAATACAAGGGTAAATACCTTTTGCTTTGTGATTTCAGAGACATTTTGTGAGCATTTTTAATTACTTAACTGCCTTTTTCAAAACCTGGGGATTGGAGAACCTTAAGTTCATCCTAACAAAATTTATTCCGTTCTCAAATCATTCTGTAATATCCTGTAGTGATGGACATACTAACTCTTTTGTAATTCATCCAAATAAATGAAGCAAGGTACTGGAATGGTTATAAGCTCAAAATACAAAATTTTAGCGTCTCTCTGGCAAATCGGTAAATCCTTTGAAGAAAAAAAAATAAATAAAAGCAGACAACATCCCACTTCCTGAATTTCACTACAGTATGTATCGGTGGTATTAATTTAACAAAACCTTTCATGGTCCAGTGATTACAGAGATTTGTTAACGTCTGTGTTCTGTGTGGGGAAATGTTTCGGGTATGTTTAGAGTAATATTAATAATATACTGTTTTGCTTTATCTTCAGAAATGAAATAAAATGTGTTTATGTTGAGGATAAATAACAAATTAAATCCCAAAGCGCTCAGATCAAGAGTCTAATTTTTTGTTGAATAAATATGTCTTCCCAGAGCTTATTTCTTATTAATGACAAAAATACAGATGACAACCCTTCCCAAGACACTTTGTGTTTGAAGCAATACCTAAGATATCAATACACAATACACCGTTCACTGGGCCACCAATCAACTGATAAGGTTATTGACAAATTGCACTAAAGTTTCTTGTCCCCTTGATGTACCCCACCAATACGGTGTAATATAACACTAAAACGTGATTTTACCAAAAATTACCGTGTTTACAACAAGGGGTACATTTCAGCAACTTACAAAGAAAGAAAATGTGAAGGATAGCCTTGGTGGACAGTTGTAATGTGAACATATGATTTTGTGACATTATTATCGTGTGAAGGTAAATAATATTTTTAATCAGTGACTATCAGTAATTGTGTTAGCTAGGTCAGCTACTATTACAAAAAGATAACATACTGTGTCTACATAAAAGTAAAACTACTTTTTAAAGCAGTTTCTATGATTATAGATGCCATTACTCAAACGTATCATTAATATACTACTAAATACAGCAGTGTTTGCCATTTTGTTGATTATCAACGACTAGCATGGTCAAAGAATATATATATAATTTGAAAATCAAGAATGCCCTTTTAAATATTTACGCAAATTAAAAAAACCATTAACCTTACACAATTTTGCGACACTTTGAACAGTAAATACATGCACTGTTGTTAACTACAAGGAGGAAATCGATTAATACCGGTGTTTATCTTTCGACGCAGCAGAAATTGCAGTGGTACAGGAATATAGCAATATCAAACAATGAGAAAATCCATCCTTCTAAAGACACGACTCATTCACGAAAACAATTCTTTTAATTTTAATTAGCTCCTTAATTACCCAAGGAATACATCTTAACAAAATTCTTTGTAGATAGGTATACCACTTATGTTTTGAAAAGTATATTAAAGCTTGTCGTCTGCAAAATTGAAAGCTATATAAAAACTTTTGCTAAGGAAAAAGGAACACGTTTTGCAGTTTAGAAAAGTCCAGTGTCAACATCAGCTTTCTTTTGAAATGAGGTTTTAGTAGGAGACAGGCTTACAAACGAATGTCTAAGCTTCTTGTCAGTGTATATGTATATTAAGGACTTCACGTCAATCATCTTCTTCCTAAAATCTGCAAGTCATAATTTGAAAACATTCAGAATCTTTTTCCATTAAAGTTGTGAAAACGGATTTAAATTAAGGAAAACTATTAGAGAAATTCAGATTTTTCAAAATTAAATGCCTTAGGCCTCTCACTATTTGTATAGAATTGTAAATTCTCAATGAACTTTTCAAGGTTGTAATTAGGTATGCGAGACATGAACGGGTATCTGTCTCTTCTATTGTTTGCACCTTTACCCGGATAGATTCTTGCTTTATGGGCAACAAAAGGCAACATTTCAGTGTTGTGAATGTTCTTGTCAAGAGCTCTGAAGGGCACAGATTATTACATTTAAAAGACATATGTTCATATTTTCTAATCATTGGAGCTTAGTAAAAGTATTTCAAGGGATTTTTTTCTAATATTTAGTTCTATTCGTTGTTATTAATTATCTAAAAGAAATTATAGTGAAATGCTTCTATTCATAACACGCACAAAGTAAATAACCTGAACACAAATAAATATGACATCTGTTTCTTTCCAGTAGTATAGAAATCGTAGCAAAATTCTAAATTATTTTCATAGAGTTTTTTTAGGCATATTATAAGAAAAAGTCAGTTATCGAAATGCGAGATATACATGTCTATATTTTTTTTTAATTTGAGTGACTATTTCATACACCTGTTGCCTTTTATTGGCAGTCTAGAAACCCACATTGATTTATTTGCTTTTTTCGATGAAACAGACCATGTCGTGTATTGGTTTAAAAACAAAGAGGTTTTAGTGCTTAATTTCTGTATTCTTTAAGACAATTATACTCCGTTTAAAACTCATCGAGTTATTTCAGTCATAATACTGTGTAGAAATATAAGTTTCAGTACATCTGTTGAATCTTCTGTCCTTTTCGAGATAAATCAAAAGAACAACTGCAGGGTGCATTTCATTTCATTTGAGGTTTCTAAAATAGTGAAGTATGTCAAACATTATATAACATTCATTCTTCAACCCTTTTCGTGTAACTGAACTATATGTTTTTACTCCTTTGTATAAATTCTTTAATCTGAAAACCACAGCAATGGTTACACTATCTGCTTGTTTTGTTCTATAAGGGTACCCAAGGCGGAATGTAGATTTAAATGGATTTTCTATTAAACGCCTTGGTCAAATTTTGTCTCAATTACAAGGATTTGAATGTTTTGAAACTTATAAAAAGAATAAAAAAATAAATGCACTCATTGGAAAACTTTAAGCTACAGACAGAAACCAATCTCATCAAGGTCTCTTTTCAGGGTGTTTGCTCTACTATTTAAAAATTAAACGGCCTTTTATTCAGCTATTCAAGCTCATATTCAGGGTTATCTGCATCGCACTGAAATACAAGAAAAGATTTAAAATTTTATAACTTTATTAAAATAATATTCTAAGGAAAATAAAAGTTATTGGCTAAAGCTTAAAAAAATGATTAAAAAATGTCATTTTTAACTTATTGAAAAAAGAATGAAAGATATGTATATTCAAGAAGAAGAGCAGAAATTGGCATTAAAAGCTAATTTATACAAATATCTAATAGATACACTTGTCTTCAATACTACCTTAAATGTTGAAAATAGAGAAATAATTAAAAATTTAGACTATCTGATCACAACTTAAATAATGAAGGGGGAAAATACGCAAATACACTGTACCAGTAGAAATGATAGAAAATGCACATTATCTAATCTAAATGAAATAGAACTTTATGATACATTGTCGCACATATGAAAATTTAATATATAAAATATTATTATCAAAGTAGTAGTGTATATAAATTAATCCAATTATTCAGTGTTCGAAATGTAAGGGAATTAAGAATTCTTGATAATCTTTAAGAGAAGCAAATCGTATTTGGGATAGCAAATTAGACTCATTATATTAATAATTAAGAACACTTGATTTACTGTATTAAAATATATATGTACAGATAATTTTTTGTTTGGAATAAAATATGGATGAAATATATGGAGATAACGAACAGTATTCAAGCTCAAAAGTCCATTATACAATACAAAATAGGAGCAGAGCAAACACGGACCTCCAAACATATAACGAACAGTACTCAAGCTCAAAGGCCATTGAAAAAATGCATATCAGGAACAGAGCAAACATGGACCTCTAAAAACGTCAGAGGTGGGATCAGGTGCTATGGGGGAATAAACACCCCCTGTCCACCGGTCACACCCGCCGTGTGCTCATTGTTATGATCGGGTAAACGGAAAAATCCGACGACAATTCAGTGTATAAATAATGGCTTGATAATTAGTATGAAAAACGTCAATCAGCATTCAATTCAATGATAAATTGTATTTGCTGACAAGGTCATTGTATCAACCATAGAACTTGCCAAATGACGACTTTAAACGAGACTGTTGATATATTTATTTCATAAACTTGTTTTTCAACAGCTTGCCTCGTTTTAGAAATTGTTCGTACGTGGAGCATGCTCTTGCGTTTCGAATCAAGTAGGAGATACAAACCCCATATGCAGGCGATAAGGATATATAACTATATAAGTAAGGGAAGTTGACGATAGAAAAATTGAAGTCATCGTGTTTATCATTAAGTTTTGTGTTAAGGTTACCATTAACGTCTTTTTCTAGTAAAATATCCAAATTTGAAACAAGTATATCAGACTCTGTGGTATCTTTTATTTCAAGTTCACTGGGATATATCGAGTCAATATATGAAAGTAACTATTATTAATTGATAATAGGTCTTCGATATATCTAAAAGTCGAGTTAGGGCCACAGAAAGTGTCTTCTACTTATCATGTATACGTTTTTAAAATAAATTCTGCTTCATATGAATTCATAAATAGGTCTGATGATAACGGGGCGCAATTAGTACCCATGGGAATTCCGACAGATTGTTGGAAGACCTGATCTCTAAAAACTACTGATATTGTCAATCAGAAACTCAAGCATCTTTTTTTAGCTACTTCAGAGTACTTTGTTTGTTCATTCAGAATGTTTTTAAACTAAATAATTTTGTAAATGACCAATGAAAAGGTAAGTAAATTTACGAGTTCCATTTTTATTGAAAAAGAAGCTGTCAATGATGTCAAAAAGTTTGGACTATAATTTATCGTGGGGAATGGTTGTATAAAGTGTTAAGTCGTACGTTTTGATGTTACTGATTTCGAGAAAATTTTGTGATTTCATATTTTCATAATGTTCTTTGGAGTTTTAAAGCATCGATATTTGATTTATATATAGTTGTACAGTACTCCTGAAGTTTCTCCTTCAGTGCTGTTGATATTTTAGTGAGGAGTAAAGAAAGAGGCTTGTTCGAACGTTTACTGGAATCCGCTATGTATCTTTGTTTGTGAGGATTTTTATGAACTTTAGGAATCCAGTATAGGTATTGTAATTCAAAGTCATTTTGATTGTTGGGAATATTTAAAATATCTAAAACATATGATTTTGAAGAATATCCTCCTTAGAGAGGGAGCTATGAGTATAAGTTGGATTACCACTTGCAGAATTAAGTCCCAGTTCCCCTAAAATACAATTAAAATAATGAACCTTACAAACAAAGACAATGTCCTTACCTGCTTTGTCAGCTGGGACAAACTACATACTTATCGTGTAATCTATCTCTCTCTCTCTCTTTTTTAACATCTGAATTATTGCAGACAGAAGGATAGATGGCTTTCATATTGCCCCTTAATCGCTTAATGCGAGATTTTAACATCCATCTGATACTTTTAATCCATTCTAACAAAGTGTCAAGGTCTTCTTTTTCATGTTTGGTCCATCAATTAATATTAAAAATGAAATTCCTATTTGTTTGTTTTATATACTATTAAAAACATTTTATTACTTTCAGGTATAGAACTATTCCCCATTTTGAAACCTAAAACGTGAACAGACGACAAACTGAAACAATATGTCGACACCTGAGAAGATGTATGGCGACGATTTGGCGCTTCTCAGCGACCTAACCGAGGACGCCCTCCTTCAGGAGCTTAAACATCGATATGAAAGAAATTTCATTTATGTAGGAAATATGTCAATGATATATTTTTATTGATGAGGTCTTATGATTTTTTTTGTCTTAAAATACTAATTTGGAAAAGCAGTGTTTTTCACTCGTGTAATTTAGTTAATTGTCATATAACATTTTGTATGACAATATGAATGTATAAATGTATGTATGAAATTAAAACGAAGAAAAAGAAAATCCAAAAACAAAGAAAAAACAAAACAAAAAAACCCCACATATAAACACACAATCAACATTCAAATGAAACTAAAGCAAAATAATAAAACCAGTATGGGTCATTTAGTTGGCGTTTCTCTGACTTAACGTATACAATGTACATCGAACACGTCTTACACATTCTATTGCTTTCTTATGTGTGATAAATTGATCACAAACATCTGTGTACTCCATTCTATGATATGGAGGGAATTCATAAGGCTATATATTAAGTACATTCTCGATTGCTCACATGAATCTATATTTCGCTTTATTCTGAAATTTGCTTTGATATACGAAATCTACTTTAAGGGAGTCGACTGGGGTTTTATTGTGTGAAAACTACTATAGAGAAACTCTTTAATCTTATACCATATATACCTTACATTGACTTCAGTATACATGCAAAGTTTAGTGAAAATCTACCATCTGGTTATTTTTTAGGGACCATTTCAAAATACAAGTACATTTACAATAGGATTATATAGGAAAATACCATTTTTTCGCACTTCGGAGCAAATTATACAAATGCTACTATAGACTTTTTGCTCAGATTATATCATTTGATGGTTAATACTATATTGTACATTTTATGCAAGAAACAGAAAATTCTATCGTCTGGTTTCCAGAGGGGGCATCTATAAATGTCAAAATTCATGGAGTACAACAAAACTTTTCAGATACCACAAATTTACATAAAAAATACTACTAATGATAGCGAGATTCTCAATTTCCTGTGTTTAAAATTTCAAGAGCATCTATTTTATACTTTTTATTTTATGACATAATTAATGACCCCGCTTAAAGAACTTCGGTTATTCATAACGTCAAAAACACACTATTACGACGTCTATCTACCCATCATTTGAAAAATCGTTTAAAAAATTTAGAAATGTAATTAGATTTTTTAACCTGAGATTTCCTAAATTTGTTAATTTTTATAAATTATGTAAAAATAGTTGCTTTAACAGAGTAAATATGCTTGATTTTACTATGCTGCGCGAAGTATTGCGCAATGAAAACCCCAGTCGGCCCCCTTAATTACCCAAATTAATTTCAAGCATGATTACTATAAAGTTATGAAGCTTTAAAAAATAATATGAATGATTAATTTATTGATGCAGTCGATCGTTATTAAAATATTCGCCATTACATAAACTGAAAAACTTATGGTGTTTCCGTGGGTTCGTGTTTTTCCTGTTCACGATTCGTTTTGTTTTATGGATTATTGAGATTGATCCATGTTCGTTTTCACCTTTCACATTCATGTAAGAATTTAAAAAAAAAAATGTTACATATACATGAATTAATAAACACCAAAATAAGGTTGCAGTTCTTTTCATTTGAAATTGCTAGCATATCATAAAATCAAATTATAACAATGGTAATGCTTTACATTTTAGACGTACCTAGGAGACATTTTAGTGGCCATCAATCCAAACAGAATGATCCCCATTTATGGAGAGGAGGTAATGCTAAATTTAAACTGATGTCGCCATAGGTTTTATATAGTTTTTTGGCAATGTAAATGTGCATTTAGTATTTTGATGATACATTAAACTTAGTTTTATAGTAATAAATTCCATTATTTTAAATGCATTCCATTATTTGTATTGAAATTATCTTTGATCTTTTATAATGCAAATCACCTCACATCAACAGGCCGGGATTAGATATTCTAAAGCAAAGCAACTTCAGGATTTACCTCCTCACATATATGCTATTGCCTGTAAATCTTACCGAAATCTGATCTGGGGGAGGGTCAACCAAGCTATCCTTGTCAGTGGTGAATCTGGAGCAGGTAGTACCAAATTATCTGAAAAAAAAATGGAAAAAAATATAATACAATAAAAGTCCAGTAGATAAAGAGAAGAATAATCAATTATAGTTTGAAATTAACACATTTAGTAAAGCTATTTTTGTTGACCTCAGCAATCAGAGTAGATTTATTTATTATGCCCGAATAAAATCATTGTACAGTTTCCATTCAAATGTACATCTCTCTTACATTGAACCTTTACCATCTTTCACAACCAGTGGTCCTTGATTAGTACATATTATGACAGCTTCGAGAACTAATTTGTTCGATTAAATTAAAATTGCTAGTTACTATAACACATTTTCGTTTTTTTTTTCCTCAGGTAAAACTGAAAGCACAAAAATGACAATAGCACAGATCGCTCGAATGTCAAAATCAGATGAGCCTACCAAACTTGCAGAACAAATTGTTGAGGTAGAAATCATTTTGATTATATATCCAAGGCAATGCACCTAACAATATTATCCAATATGAAACAAAGACATGTTTCATTTGATTTTGTAATCTTTTTAAAAGATAAATCCATTACTGGAAGCATTTGGAAACGCTAAAACAACCATGAATGACAACTCCAGTAGATTTGGAAAGTTGATTGAAGTTATGTTCAACAAACATGGCAAAATAATTGGAGGTTTGTTATCTTGTTGTTTCTCTCTATTTTCGTGAATGATAACAAATGCATTAAATTTCTTTGATAAGAGCTGAATATTTTATAGCAAAAGTGACGGAGCACATGTTAGAGAAAAGTCGCGTCGTACACAGTGGCTACGGGGAGAGGTCTTTCCATGTATTCTACTACATGTTTGCCGGTTTGTCTGAGAATGAGTTCAATCGTTACTATTTGAATCGCCCTGAACATTACAGGTACTTGTTTTGTAAAATGTAATACTGAATAAAACAGTAAAGATTTGTTAGTAATTGTTAGGCCATTGTTAACACATTGAATTGTCGACGGACTTTTCCGTTATTTACCGATCATGACAAGGAGCACACGTCGGGTGTGACCGGTCGGCAGGGGATGCTCACTCCTTCATGGCACCTGATCCCACCTCTGATGTTTTTGGAGGCCCGTGTTTGCTCTGCTCCCGATTTGTATTGTTTTATATGATGGACTTTGAGCTTGAATACTGTTCGTTATATCCATATTTCATTTGGTACATTCTAATTAGTCACATACAGGTAGTTCTTATTGTAGTTAATACTAGTATTTATTTAGAAATAGAATAATATTAAACTTGTTGTGGCAATGATTATTTTGATAAGGATAACAGATCCAGGACATGCGCAGCCTGTTTTTATGTCCCAAACAGATTTTAACCAACATCGAAGTGGATTCGAAGAATTAAAAGAAGTTATGAATGACACGGACTTCTCTTTTCAGGTGGGAAAACAAACAGTTCAATATTAAGTAAAAAGATACCCCTGCGTCGCACATTCTATTTTGTCCTAATGCTGATTGAAATCATTTTTCCACCTGTTCCTTTCAGACTGTTGACTTAATATTTGCAATGATGGCAGGTATTCTTCATCTGAACAACATCGACTTTGCTGAAGATCCAGAATTTCATCAGGTCATAATAGTTAATGAGGACGAAGTTGATTACAGTAAGTCCTAAATCAGTTCCTGATACTCTAACAAGAATTACTGTATCTAGTTGTGACCTGAATTTAAATATTTCCTTTAGGTAGTCGGTTACTCTCCCTTCAAGCAGAAGATTTAGCAACAGTTCTATTGACGACAACAAACTTTGTCCGAGGTAAAATGGGAAATTCAATTTAAATTTAAAACAAATTCTGATCTTATCAATCAAAATTTTAAAAAAATTCAACATCTAATAGGTGAAAGGATCGTTAAGATGAAGTCTGTGACCGAAGCAAGTGACGGCAGGGACGCTCTTTGCAAGGCCCTGTACAGCCGACTTTTTAGTTGGATTGTTAAAAGGATTAATTATACTCTTCAGGCTGAAGAGAATGGTCAACGGTAATTAATTTCATCAGAATTTAAATGACCAAGCTTTATTGATGAAGAGAACGAATGCATAAAATGAAAGTTTCCTAAAAAAAAAAAAAGAAAGAAAGAAATACTCTAGTTAAATCAAATATAGTTTACTATAGAATCAAAGTTGTTATAGTAAATCAAAGTTTTTACCCTAGCAAATCAGCAAATTTTTGCTATAGATTTCAGATTGTTATATTGTATGCTCTCAAATTTATACATGCACAATTTTGATATCAAATAGGTTCATGTATATTACTTTACATCATTAGTATTGAATTTTCAGCTTTGAAATGTCGAAAAAGTTCTTAAGTAAAGTTGGATAGTAAATCAAAGGCATTCACTATAGTAAACTATAGTAAATATTTGTTAGGGTTAGCATAATTAATATAGTCAGTCCATTGGCAAAGTTACAAAATGCACCTTTGAAAGTTATAATCCTTTTCTCTTAAGGCCAGCAGATGCTGGAGTGATCAGTATCCTGGACATGGCTGGCTTTGAAAATTTCCAAGTGAATAGCTTTGAGCAGCTATGCATTAACAGTGCAAATGAACAACTTCAGAACTTCTTTAACACGTATATATTCTCCTGGGAACTGCAAGAATATCACTTGGAAGGCATTAGGCAACCAAAAATCAAGTTCACAAATAATAATGAGATTCTTGGGCTTTTCTTTAATGTAAGTGCTTTAATATGCAAATAACACACACATAAATGAAGGATTTTTTTGAGTTGTTTATGCTTAAAATCTCATATTTATTTAGGCTAGTTTTGTTTTAACTGTGATAACTTTTTTGTACTCTGATGTTTTACTTGGATGTTTGTTCTAAATAATCTTATTTTGAGGTTACTTTTCCTGATAGAACAGATCTGAACAATACAATAATAAGATGCTTTCAATTCTAACAGAGACCTGTTGGGCTATTCGCTATACTTGAAGATGAATGTAGATTACATACATCATCTTCAATGTCATTTGTCGAAAAGATGAACAAAGAATTTGCGAAACATGATGTCTATAAGAAATCCAAATCAAGTGATCCCGCATTCACAATCGCTCATTATGCAGGACAGGTTTGATATATAAAATTCTCTAGTTGTTTGTGAAGATCTAAATGAAATTAGTTAAACCAATTTGTGTCAACTATATTTGATTTAACAGGTTACATACAGTGCAGTTGGCTTCATTGAGAAAAACAGGGAAACACTTGGTATTAATTTTATAAGCCTGATGCAGAACAGTCATAATTGGTTAATAAACGATCTTTTTGATGATCGACCAGATAGAGAAACAAGGTAACATACCAATATATAATTCTATAAACTCAATAATTCAAAATACTTATATATTGTTATAAATTCTAGCATTCATATTATTAAGAAAGGGCCTAACCTCTAGAATTTTATTCTATAAAATTTTGTAAAAGTTTCGAAACTAAATTTGTCTAAATTAAAAAGGAAAATTTATGTATGGCAACAAACTGGTCATTTAAAATCTTGCTTTTTGCGATATCAGGGACATTGATAAACGAAACAGTGTCTGGACTGTGCCTGAGTGGGGGAAACCAAACATGCCTACCCTAGGTCCAGGGGAGACGCTATCCAAACGAGCAGGAAAGAAAGTCAAACAAAGGTAAAAAATGTAATTCACACCTACTGATTTGTACGAAAGACCATTTAGAAATAATTAAAAAATATTTTTGAATTCGATTTCGATATAACAAATTGTTTAATTCGTTTCAAAAAATTTAATTCGTTATAACAAATTTGAGGATTCGATTTAACGAATCTAATTCTTTATAACAATTTTTGAATTCGATTAAAGGAATTTAATCTGGTTACAATGAATTTAATATGTTTTAACAAATTCTACATTATATTGAATTTAAAAATATTTTTGCTAGATTCTGAATGTTCCTTCCTTTTTTTTTTTTGAACTGCGTGATCATTATTTTAATAAAAAGAATCATAAAATTTCCATCTCTCCGCATGTATTTCAATCCCGAACCAGACGAGAAATACTACCTACTACACCACAATAGTCATAAGTATATATATCATATTATATAATCTGTTAGCAATATTAGATACTACTTACTACTTCTAGGCACCTAATTCAACCTCTGGTGTTTCCAGGGTTCTATGTTTTCGCCCTGTTCTTCATTTCTATTGTTGATAAGATTTATGAGACTGATCAATGTTACATGTGTAGGTATCTTCACCTTTTTCATTCCTTTAAAACTTAGAGGATTAGTACAGCTCGGTGTAATGTGTGGTGTGGAATGTTGTCCCATTTTGAGAAATATTTAACAAAAGTTAGCTAAATTTAAAAAAATATGAAAAAATTCAGTTTTCAAGTTAATATTTTCAAAGACATAAAGGAAGTAGGAACCTAAAATTATATTAATTAGGTTTGTAGCCAGCACCGACGTTAGACATTAAAACTGAAAATACAGCAGTTTTGTTTTTAAAAACCATTGCTGTTGTTATTGCTCCAATGTAATCATGTTTTTTTTGTTTGCTTGAGTTTTGTTTATTGTTTAAATGTTGGATTGAAGTTGGAACTTAAGGTGAACCCAAAAAGTTATTTGGCTGTGCAATATACATGTTTTTTTGTTTTGGTGCTTTGAACAATACACAATGTATTGGTAGTCCAAAACTTTGAATAAAGGAGCTACTTCTTCAATTTCATATATATTAAATATTAAATGTAATAAAATTTTACTAACACTGAGTTTGCTCTGTTTTATATACGATAAGGTATTATTTTATTAATTATGAGCTTATAGCTGCAAAGACTAATTCAGTATTAGAAATCGTGATAAAGGAGATTTTTTTTTATTAATACATCTATTTTTCCTACTTTTATACGAAGGATGAATAAAGATCGCCCTTTACCAGCTATTCCTTCTGTCTCAGGTACTACAACTAGTGTTCATTTCAAGGTGAGCCAAATGAATATTCTGTAGCTGATTTATAGTTTATACCTATCTAGTTCGAGATAACAAGGTTCAACTGTACATATATAATTTACAATACTTTTGTTCTTTATAGCAATCTTTATCTTCCCTTATGGAAAATCTTAAGTCTTCCGAGCCCCAGTTTATACGGTAAGTCTAGTGCTTAACCATATACAAAAAATGTGTGACGTCACTGAGTCCCTTTGTATGTACACATGTAGTAACTTTGCATCTTTTATTATTTGGTTCTTTTTTCACTCGTAGATGTATTAGGGCTAATGCTGAGAAGCAGTTTGGCCTCTTCGACTCCAGGCTTGTTCATAAACAACTTCGCAATACAGGTGTGTTTGAGACAACAAGAATACGAAAACTTGGATTCCCAACACGTTTACATATGCAGGATTTCATTAATAGGTAAGTACAAGAGTGTGAAATTAAAAGTCGTCTTATAATGCACCCATTACATACTGGTTTAACGTAAGAACTGCTACACATTCAATTTCAATTTTTACTAGAAGACTGAGCTAAAACAGCTACATTTTTGAGGAGTTTTAATGTATGCATATCTTGTTCTTTCTTTGTTTTAGTCGTTTCAAATGTGTCATACTGTTTTGTAGATATAAAGCAATAGCCTTCCCCGTCACTGAGCCTGTTGAGACAAACGCAGCTAACTGTGAAAAAATTCTAAGAAAAGCACAACTCTACGATTGTGAAATTGGCAAATCTAAAGTAAAGTCAAAACTTGAAATTCTGATTCTATTTTCAACTTTATATGATACTATTAGTAAAAAAAAAAAAAAATGAATAATTGCACTATTTTTCTTGTAATTAGGTCTTTCTCAGATACTGGCACGTAGATCATCTAAATATGTGCATGGAAAATTTTGTTTCCAATCTTCGTACTATTCAAACAAGAATTCGCATGTTTATTGCCCGAAAAAAGTTCCTTGATATGATGCAGTACATAACAAGCTGCCAAGATGAAGTGTTTAAGATAGGGAATCTGGTGGCTACAGCTGGAGATCAACTCTATCACATTATGGTTTCTACTGATGATTTAGACAAGAACCACTATAGAAAGAGGGTAAGATTATTTGTAAAAATGTATCAATCTGTTACAACTGTATCGTTTATGACAACAACAAAGGCAAGACTTTAATTTAGTAAATGTTTGAATAGGTTAGAATTTTCAAAATTTCTAAACATAGGACCATTGTATTCTACGAAAAAAAGTTCAAATAAGTCTTGGTCAATATTGGTTTTCTGTTTTGTGTTTGGAGGAACATTGACCAATAAAAGCGTTTGCTTATGAAAAATAATGTAGAGTGTCAATTTTTTGTGAAAGTTTCTAAGTGTTTTTAACCAAAAATATTTAGGGGTAAAGGTATAGTAATGCATATAGCAATTTTTCGGATGGAAAGGGTTTGAGAATTAAAAGAAATTGAATACACTTATCGAATTAAGGTGATTAAAAAAAAAAATAAACCTGGTATGTTTTGTTTCGAAAATGGTCATAACATTAAATTGTTTTGGGAAATAATGCAAGGTCCCAAAAAATGTCACCAATTTCATTATATCTGAAACGTTCATCTTAGTGATACAAATAAAAATACTACTTCTTTCATTAATGATATCGACCATGAACAAAGGCATTAAAATCTGTATTATTAAAACATGCACATAAAAAATTAGTTGGAGGAAGAAGAAAATAAAAGAAGGAGGCAAAGACAGTCTCAGATCGGTAGAAGAGGACTACCTAGACAATATCAACACGACTTCTATGACAGACCTGACTATTACACTATGGAGGAAAGTTATTACAATTACAACAGGCAGTCGGAATACCAACAAAGGTTAGTCAGATTTAAAGACTTTGTAAATCAACAAAAGACATACTAGTATTTCTAATAGCCACATTTTACACAAAATAACTAGATGTAGATATTGTTCATGTGATACTCTCAAAATATTTTCTTTCAATTGTTTTCATGGTGAGGGAGGTTTGTGACAATAAAGGAATTACAAAAGACAGGGACATATGAAATGCTGTTGATGGTCCATAACATATCACGTTGTTTATATTTCCAGGTCCCGATATGAGCCACACAGTAGAAGACGCCCTTTGTCCCAGATAGCCGAGGTCAGTTTAAGTTTTCAACGAGAATTAATGCTTCAACCCTTTTTTTAAAAATTGAAATACTCTGCACTAGTATCGAAAGTTTTCAAATTTGATTATCCTTTTGTTTTGTTGACTAAAGTACCGTGCATCGTTATTTAAAAAAAAATCAAGCAAAATAATTCACAATTATAATTTGAATGTAACAGATCCAAAATCTTACAGAAAAAGCTATACTTAATTTCTAGAACCCCCCCTCCCCCCCTAAAATCAATATAACTTCAACAGGAAGCCATTTGCAAAATCTTGCATAATTTGAAGATAAAAAAAAACGATCTGTACGCAATTTCTTTGTATTAATTTAAGCATTATTGAACAGGAAGCTAAATTTCGACTTTGTCAAGCAAGGTTTTGTGTTTATACATGCATCCTGTTATTAATATGCAAACATATGTTGTGTCCCCCGATGAGGTAAAATAAAGTACGCTGAAAATAAAATTCTGCTGTAGTCAATTACGGGGGTATTGATTACTGAGTGTGTACAATACACAATACGTATAAGATAAATTCATAATACCTCTGCGTGGAGACAGGTAGTTATTGTGACACTTGGTGTTTGTGAATATGGAGCACAAAATAGTCCAGGTTTGATACACTTCATTTGTTTATAATATAAATAAATTGATTTTGGTGTAAAATACTTTTTAAAATGGCATATACTAGTAAATACGTGTTTGGTCATTTAAGAAATGAATTTAATTTTTGAAGATTCATGAGGACATGAACTACGACGCTTCACGCCGGCATATTTCATGAAGCGCGTTAGCGCTTCATGATAAATATGCCGGTGTAAAGACGAATAATGACCCCCATAGAATAATGACCGGGAGGTCATTTTTCAACGACAAAAAATGACCCCCCAGCCGTAGAAAAAAATAATTTTTTGTAGAAAAAGAGCCCTAGGGGTCATATCTTTATATGTGGGTCCTATAAAAAAATGACCCCCGTTGGAAAATGACCCCTTTACCAACAGATACACAATTTATAACAGGTGATTGATTTCAAGGTTTAAACTTCAATGTTTAATTCTTATTTATGCCCTTTTTGATCAACTTTGGACGAAAGCGCAATTAAAATGCAATAAAACAGCATTACATTTACATGCATATTTCTGTCTTTTAAGCCTATTGTGTTCTCAGCACATATTGAAAATCGCAAAATGGCTACTATTGGTTATTCTCCCTTTATGAATGTCTTCCATTCGTTTCATATTTGGATATTTGACTGATTATAGACATTCATACAAGTAGCTAAATAATCATACAAGTAGCTAAATAACAGCGGGATGTTCTGGATTTCAATGGTAAACATGTCTTTCAAAGTATTCAGCATGCATTGAATACGATCAACTTTATTTTTTAAAGTGAATGAAAAAAAATGAATGAGATAAGTTTTCGGAAATAAATACGGGAAGTTATGCAATGTAATATTATATATTTTTTTTAATGACATAAAAGGTGTGTAAATGAGGTAGAATGTATCGCAAATGACATAATATCTCGTGTGAACGACATACTGTGGATATATTTCCTAACGAAAAAAAGTTGACGATAACGAACAAGGATGATTTTAAAATATCCACAAGCAATACAATTATGTTAACAGGGCATACAAAAGGACCCCTGAAAATTGCAGAGGCAGGAGTAGGTGCCTAAAAAGAGTAAGCATCCCCTGTTGACCCGTCACACCTGCCGTGAGCCCTATAAATAAATCAGGGGACATTCCGTTGTCGAATTAAGTATAGAAAAAAGGCCAAACAATTGACCATATTATAAGTTATATTTGTTGACAGGGTCATTGATACGACCATTGAATTTACGAAATGCTGACTTTAAACGAGGTTGTTGAAACCCCTGTAACAGTCAGTAGCCTGACTCGATTTAAAAATTAATCGCGTTCTTGGGTATCGAATAATTTGGTAGATGTTAACATCATATGCAAATGATAGCGGAATATTACTACATAAATAAGGAAAGTTTACGATGGAAAAAGCTGAAGGCATCCCGCTTGTCAGACAATTTAGTTGTAAGCTGGTCTTGAGCGTCTATAGTCAGCAGGACGTCCAAATATAAAGCAGACGTGGCAAACATAAAAAGGACATAAAATTTCTGCTTGTCAGAAATATATACAATCGCATAATGTGCATTCAATTTTATTTATAAACAATGGTCTATGGGAATTTCTTTTCAAATATATAGAAGTAATAAAGAAGGATCCCAGTATAATATACATATGTACATTCAAGTCTGTTAACATGGTCGTCTGAGAATAGGATACATACATGTAAGAGGAATAATTTTCTTTAGAAATCCACTTTAAAACAGTGATACATTTGTCAAAAAAATATGGAAACATTTCAATACAGTGTATATTGAAGTAGATAAATGTTTTTAATTTATCATTAAAGACAGACCATTTTATTGACCTTCCAGGTGAATATAAGGATTTATTTTTCCTACATTGAACTAAATAGATTGAAAACAACTCTGAAAAGTTATTTCACCTGCATCCGTATTCCACTCAAGTTAACATAATATTCAGGCTCAAAGAATCGGAGAAGGGGGCGAGTGATTGCTCACCCCTCCTTTTTCTGAATGTAAAATTTAGCAATTTCTAGTTTGAAAATGTTCATTGAAAGTCTTGTAAACACCCCCTCGTTTTTATACAATATAGTTAAAAACTCCCTCCTACTTGAGTGGACATGGTGAACATAACATTCAGGCACATAGAATCAGCGCTGCGTGGAGTGTCCTTCCCCTTCCATTTTCATGAACGCTATTTTTTTATTTTTTCGCTTGAAAATGATCATTGCAAGTCTGGTTGCCCTATCCCAAACTTTTTGATACAGTAGAGTAAAAGGAAATCCCCCTTACATCAATAGACTTTTTAAGGGGTTCATCAAAGATATTTTTGGGGTAACTTGTCATTTGTCCTCTTATAATGCCCCATTCCCCCCTTCGATGTTATGCCTGACGTTTATTTTTTCTACATTGCACCAAAACTAGATTTCAAATGCAAAATTAATACTGGTTATGCTTATTATGTTACCTCCGATTCTCTCATTGTGTTTGGCTAGGACTTGAGCAAATGTAAACAAGAAACTTGACGTGTCATCTTAATCAGTCTGTATCAATTTAATCGTAGAATCATATAATATAACAGTTATTGCTGTTTTTTCTGTCAGTACGATGATTTTCCACCATCGAAAAAAACAAAGTTCACCTCGCCCTTTGGGCTCGATAAATCTTTTATTTTTCTAGATTCTGAATCATCGCATTAATCTTAAAAACAGTAATGATTGTATAATGTAATGAAATCAACATATCATCGATTTATTCCCAATTTAGCTCAGGTGAGAATTTTGTTCAACAGGTCTCTTGGTTTATTATTTTTATTTTGCAATTTCAACTTTAATCCTCTTTAATCCACAAGGGGTCATTATTCTACGGGGGTCATTTTTCTTCACGTGGGGTATGCAGATTTTTGGGGTGATGACACTTTTTCTATGGGCAAAAGGGTCATTTTTCGACGTCGAATAATGACCGGGGGTCATTTTTCGCCGTTGAATAATGACCGGGGGTCATTATTCGATGGCGAAAAATGACCCCCGGTCATTATTCTATGGGGGTCATTATTCGTCTTTACACCGGCGTGAAGCGTTGTAGTTCATGTACCTCATGAATCTTCAAAAATCAAATTCATTTCTTATATTTACATTATTTTTCTGATGAGTTACCACAAATTTCACCACTCAACTGTCATTTTTAAAGCAAAACAGTTTGCACTATAGTTTTGACGTCAAGTACGGTATTATGACGTAAAATGGAGATATTCATGCTCATCCATGGTAGTTCATGAGAAAATGAACAGCATTCTAATTTGCAAAGAATCTTAAGAAAAAATATTTGGAAATGTAAATATTAGAGAATATTTGATAACGGTTTTGCATAGTTTTGATGATACTTTATATAAAATATTGTAATACAAATATGTGATGGAAGATAATATATTTGGGTAGTAGAGTGGAGTGTTTTGATGTCATTTTAAATATGTGTGATTAATTTTTTTCTCATGAAATCTTGTGAAATTAAGTCTTAGTTTCGAAGATTTAACTTTTTCTCTTTTGGTATATATATATATATATATATATATATATATATATATATATATATATATATATATATATATATATATATATATATATATATATATATATATTTGAATTTTTCTTATTCTACAAATCCTTTAGGAATCCCTAACTCATCTGTATAAGAAATGGCATAGCGTTGATCCCGATGCTTGGTGTAAAATTATTTATTTAGAGAGAGACAAAATAGTTCAGAAGTTTTATATCCTTGAGAGAGAGGTCACAATTGATGGCAAGACTGGATCCGAATTTGACGGAGAACGGTAAGGACGACACATTTGAATTAGAGTATAAAATTAGAAAACCGACCCATCTCTTTATTTAAAAGATATATATATATATATATATATATATATATATATATATATATATATATATATATATATATATCAGTTTATTATCATATTCATATTATATGTAATAATGTAGGAATGTTTCTAAATACTTGAGTAACCAAAGAGGATAGAAAACAAAATCAAAACATTTTTTTTACTCTTCCCGTTGCAACTTTAAGATGTGGGATCTGTTGAAACAGTTCAAACAAACAAACAAAACCAAAAAAATTAAAAATACATGTACATATATTTTTCATTAAAATATTTATATCACAAGATTTTCTTTTCTGAACAATACAAAATGCTCTTTTTCAAGATTGTAGTATTTTCTCAAATCCAACATTTTAATATCTGCTTTATCCATAAATAACGAAGTTAACAGTTTAACTACACTAAATTGACACAATTGTATTGAGATCGACAAATTCGTAAAATTATAGTAATATTTCACTGAAAATGTTAGAAAACAAAAATAAGCCACTTTTTACTCTTATCAATACAACTTAAAAATGTGGAATCTGTTGAAACAAAACAAACAAACAAACAAGCAAATTTTAAAAAATATAAAATATTTATGTGACAGTATTTTCTTTTCTGAACAATAACTAATGTTCTTTTTAATGGAAAAGATTGTAGCATTTTCTAACATCACTGTATTTATTTTATCCATAAATAAAAAGTTTAACAGTTAACTAGACTAATTTGACACCATAACTTCAGACCAACAACTTCTAACGATACTAAAAATAAAATATATCGAATCATTGAATATGTTAAGAGGTCTGCATACTGTGTTATAAATATCTTTTTTAATATTCCCTTGTGATGACTGGATCATATACATCTTATCAAAAACAATTTACACATCGCACCCCTTTCCTTTATCATCTAAGTGTGTTGAAAAAAGTGAATAAAACTAATGTTACTCAATATAACAAAGAAAGAAAATTGTGACAATTTTAGGATAATGATATGTCACATTTAAATAGATATAAATAGATATGATGAAATATGAAGATAACGAACAGTATTCATGCTCAAACGTCATACATGCAATGCTCTCAAACATTTTTTTTCTTAATTCAGATAATTCTAGTTTAAATATATGCTAGTATTTATGTATATGTATAAAAACTATCTGGTTTATTCCTCCTTTTTATGTCTTTTTCCTATCAATCATGCAACTTTTTCTCTCTTATGTGTATGTATATTGTATAACATGTATATGACTATATATAAGTGTTTACAGTGTACTTTCTTTTTGCCCCATGATGGCACTTAATTGGTAATAAAGAAATTGAAAATTGTTGTGGATATATTTCTGTACCATCATTTGAAATGAAATTATTGAACCTTTTTTTCATTTTAAGAATTAGTCTTTCGTATATCCGTAATGTCGACAGAGATGACGAAACAGCGAGCATTTTGTCTTACGTCGGACAGGTAAGAGTCAATCACTTAATACTTAATAAGCTAGTTTCTGACCTGACTGCAAGAAAGAGGTCTTTGATGTTGATCAAGAGTATTTCTTAATGATCACCTACAAAAATAAGGAAAAAGAATTTTTTTTTGCTTTTCTGCTTTATCACGTATTACTCAAGTATGTTATCATGTTCAGAATTGAAACAAATGATATCTTCCGTTATTAGTCTTTGTTCGTTTGTAGGTTATTGACTTTTCCTATATCATAATTACAAATCTATCCCTTAGATTTATTTTTTCTTAAGAATTGCCTATGATTAGAGATGTCACAATGTTTGCTTTAAAGAGTCAAGTTGAGATTTAATTAAGGAGATGCCCCAACGTTCGTTTTAGGGAGTCAAACTCCGAAAGGATATGGATGGTAGTATAACGGCCACAAGACTCGGAAAAAACCCGGTTATTGTTAAGGATCACGACAACCCCGCAGAACATTGCTTCTCCCTTGAAGTCCTGAACCATGAAGGGAGACTTCCCCTCCATGTTCCGGTCAAGGTACACAAAACAATACCATTGTATTTTGGAATTTATTTAATTACAGTAATATTATTGCATATATTATAACATACTGCAGAGAAAAGTTGTTTTTTTTAATGTGATGAAACTCAATGGTATAGTAAAATAAAGGTATTCATTTCACATTCATTTGTCAGTGATTTTTATCAGTATGACTCTTGTAGCATTGCTGCATTTCGTTCACCCTACCCTTTTTGTCAACCTTTAATTTGACAGATATTTGACATGGAAGAATTCAAATGTCAGATGGGAATCCAAATACAGCTTAATGATAGGAATCCTGATGAAAGAGTTCTCCGACATCAAAGTGTCACGTGTATCAGTTTGGTCAAAGATGAGAAGGAGGCGGGAGCCACGCCATGTTGGCTGCTTATTATAAATCTGTGTGCTCTAAGGGCCATTACTGACAATACAGGTTTGTGGTAGAGGGTTTTTCCCTAACCAAATACCCTGGATAGGATAGAACAGAATGAAATCCAGTAAAACATTCAAGGTCCCACAGGGGAAAATGACGAAAAGATCAAGTATAATCATTATTAATTTGACACATTTCCCCAATAACGATATTCGACACAATTTACTTAAAATGTTATGTAGCAAATAGTTCAATACACCCCTTTGTCCATGTATAAACCAGCAGCCAAGCTCTTTATCTTTACTTTTTGTGAATTTAAAAATTTTGTTTGTAGTAATAACTCATGTAGAACAAAGGCTGGTTGAATTGGCAAACCGAACAGAAGAAGAACAGGAAATAGAATTAGAGAAGCAAGAAAAGAATACGGAACTTGCCGCAAGGGTAAATATAGTGAAAGCAAATTGTTAGTGAAACAATTGTGAACTTATATTGTATGAAATCAGTTTTCTTCTGATTTGATGTCTTTAAATTCACAGTATGGAGCTTGTGAATAAAAGACTGGTAATGATTGTGGAATGCTGATAATGGTGTTCCTTTATTTAAAATAATATCAAGTAAATTGATGATGATATCAAATATTAGATTAGAATTCGAGTTTAAGGCGTGAAATATATTCCAATTTTAGAACAGACAGAGACAATGGTCCAAACTGAACCCCAGACAAGGTATACAAAGTTCCGAGGCACCATTAAGGAAAACGAAAATAGACCTTTTGAAAAGAGGAAAGACTGTTGGTGGAAATTTAAGCTACAGCTGGGAAATTGATGCTCGAAGTAGGAAGAAAACTTAAATTTATTTAACAGTTATGTTCATTTTTGAATATTTTATATTCTTTCGATAATTTTAATTTCTGAGGAAAATTTAGTAAAGTTCTTGTACTTTTTATTTTTGTTTAGATTCCCAAAAGCATATAATAAATTTAGAAGATGTGCATCAACGTTATGAGGAACCCGAGTCTCAGATTGGGGGTTTTGGAGGTTCTAGTAAGCAGTTATTTGATGGTTGTATTTAGAATACCAGCAGAATAGTACAGAGTAGAATATAAGAATATTTGTTTTGTGAAATATTATTCATATGTCATGATACGGCCCGGATGTTAATGATATATTTACATGTAAGTGTAATATAATCTAATTGTATGTTGATTTCGTTAGGAATGGGTTATCCCGGAAGTGTCCTCAGCAGTGTAATGTACCCAGGCACCGGAAGTTCTGTGAGGAAAGACTGGGCAAAGGTCAAGGTTGCAATAAAACAAGAAAGAAGACTGGATGAAGAACAACTGGAAGAACTGGCCGAGGAAGACGAAGAATTATAACAACACTTTTAACTAAATTCTGTCTTCCAATTATGCAATGGACATGAAATAATTGGAATGAAAATATAGCTAATGGACGATGGCTTAATTCTTTGTTAAATGATAAATGGACTTGGTTATAATATCATTACAAGACTAAATATATTCTAACCTTCTAACCCAATTCCTATTTTTAAGAAATATTTTGGAATATATATGTTTACTTTTAATATTATATAAATTTTTGTAAGTTTATGCACAAAACTTTCAAATATTTCAAAAGATCATATGATCTCCGGAATGCTTGTTATTATGACATTATACATATATGTATTTACATTGCATAATAGGCCTACGGTAGATTTTTGAAAGATTTATATTAGTATGCATTCACAGTGAAGTCTCACGAGCTAATACAAAAGAGACAATATTTATCGCCATGTAATGGATTGATTTATGTTTCATGACCGTTTGATGTTAGCTCTTGGACCCTATGAGTATTTATGACGGAATTGGCTGTCATCACTTTCACAATAATGAGGGAGAAATAAAATCATAATATCTCAAGAGAAATTCTATGTAATTACAAAATTTTGTATCGTTTTAATGTTACTATTTCTATTGTTATATGTATTAGTTGATAATCCGTGTAGTACGTACATGGTATTAACCATGAGTTGGGAGTTCGATTTATTTTGTATTTGTATGTCCCCGTAATCGAAGATTCGGGGGTATAAATAGTTTTTGCCCTGTCCATCCGTCTGTTTATCTGTTTATATGTTTGTTTGTCCGCTAAAACTTTAACATTGCCCCTAACTTTTGATTGATATGGCTCTCATATTTCACATGTGTATTCATTGTAACAAGGCCTTTCTTTGGATACCACAATATTTGAACTCTTGACCTTGACCTTGGAGTTTGACCCATTTTTGCAAGAATTTACCCAACTTTAACCTTGGCCATAACTTTTGAACAGTTGGTGCTAGGGCTTTCATACTTCACATATGTATTCATCGTGGTAAGACCTTTCCATGGATATAAATATTTTTTTTACCTTTTGACCTTGACTTTTGAGTTTGACCCAACTTAAAAAACTTTAACATTGGACATAACTTTTGAACAGTTAGTACCAAATAGGGCCTTCATATTTAATAGGTGTATTCTCGATGACAAGGCCTTTCTTTGGATACCAACAATTTTGACCTTGACCTTGGAGTTTGATCTACTTTTGAAAACTTTAATCTTGGTCATAACTTTTGAACAGTTGGTGCTAGGGCTTTCATTCTTCACATGTGTATTCCTTGTGACAAGGCCTTCCTTTAGATACCAACAATTTTGACCCTTTGACCTTGACCTTGAAGTTTGATCTACTTTTGAAAAACTTTTAACCTTGGTCATAACTTTTGAACAATTGGTGCTAGGGCTTTCTTACTTCACATGTGTATTCCTTGTAACAAGACCTTTCTTCGGATACCAACAATTTTGGCCCATTGACCTTGACCTTAGAGTTTGACCTTCTTTAAAAAAACTTTAACCTTGGCCATAACATTTGAACATTTGGTTCTAGGGCTTTCATATTTCACGTACATGTGTATCACTTGTGACAAGACCTTCCCTTGTGCACCATTTGACCTTGGTGTTTTACTTACTTTTGAAAAATTTTGATCTTCGCCATAACTTTTCAACATTTGGTGTTAGGGCTTTCATATTTCACATGTATATTCCTCAAGACAGCCTTACTTTGGGTACCAACATTTCTTATCTTTTGACCTGGAGTTTGACTTGCATTTGTGAAACTTTAACCTTCGCCATAAGCTGCCATACGGGGGCATTAGTGTTTCACAAACACATCTTGTTCTTGGCTGATTGTATGCAGTCTTCTCTTTCTCCCTTTTGGGATGGGGGATGTTTGTGATAAAATTATTATATTAATTTATTAATACATGTATAGGTTTTACCACAGGTATTGTAAGTCTTAGATGGCGTATATTCTCACTATACCTTTGTCCATGTCTTGACATGGACAAAGAATTTCAGTATGGTATAGAGCATAACGCAAATAATGATTCTTTGATATGTTTTTATTCTGATATCACATATGAAGTATGTACATTTTTATGAGGTCGCCAATAACATCAAATTGCATAAAATGGGTATATATGTATAAAATACATTTTTTTCAATAATTTGTTACCTTTTTAAAGGTGAGATCTGTTGCAATAAATTGTTTAAAAAAATGAAAAATGGATGGCGTAGTATGATATAATGATTATAAAAATGAAAAATATAAAATACACAAATTTTCAAATCAAAAATCCGTATGTTTGAATCAAAAAGTGTAGAAAAAATTCTAAAAGGGGAGAATTTGTAGTTAAACAGTGCTGATCTTATCTGGAAATAGTTTTTACTTTCTGAAACTTTAGTCCCAGAACTGAAGGATGATTTCTTAGCATGGAAATGCTGCTTTATAACATCTCAGCATGAAAAGACGTCAGTAACAGAACTATGACGAACTGTCATTACTATTTCAAAAACAAAAGCTATCTGCTCTTGGACCAAGTTAGTCAGTAATAAGTTTTTGCTTTCCAACACTGAGGCCTTTGCGAAAACTAGAACATATACACAATGTAATATACAACAACCCCACGTCATCTATTGCCCACTGAAGCAATCTTTCCTTTCCTCTGAATTCTAAATCTGCCTATCGTCGTCGAAGTCCGAAAAATCTGATAATTTTCCCTTTTATTGTACTCTTTTTCTTCTTTTGTTGTTCTGGCTCATGCGTCTGTAAAAAAAACGATGAAAGTCATGTTTCTATTGCAAAGTGCAATATTTACCCATAAAAATGATAAATAAACATAAATATTAAGTACCTTCTTGGGTGCCGTCAAGAGTGCGTCTAAAGCAGAATTTTTCTCTGTTTTTGCCTTTTTCCTCTTGTGTGTTTTTCTTTTAAGAGTTTTATTTCCTGTCCCCTGTAAATGATAGATTTATTAATCTATTAGTCCTCACTTGTTTTCCTTATAAATACTTTGATACCAAGATTTGTTGTTATTTAGCGGGTAAAATTTTTCTTATGAATCTGATTTAAAACACACAAACCCTCTACCTGATCAGGAAATGTCCGTTTGAAGGTGTCCACGTGGAAGAAAAACAATTTCCGTGGGACAAAACAATCGTCGTCCTCGCTATCTTCTGGTTCTTTCTCAATCCGGAGCAGTTTGTCCATTGTTATGTTCCAGTCTCTATCGTGTCTCATCAACTCTGATCTCTGGCTTGTGACGCACCATGAAAGATCCACCTTCCGATCTCGCGGGATATTCTTATTTCCATTCAGAAATTGTAGAAAATCTTGGTATGATTCGTTCCTCTCTCTTAGTACATTCTGGTTATAAAGAGAATACGTTTATGTGTTAAATTATTAGGTGTTATTTGAATCTCATGGCGTAACAGGAGAAAAACACATTTGTCATTGTCTTTTACTGGATTATGATTAAGGGAAACATAATTTAAATATGTCGTACATGCTAAACAGCACCATTAATTTATTAATTAAGAGTAATGGAGAGTATTTATAGCATTATATTCGTAACAATAGGAAGGTGACATGGATATTTTTGAACCATGGGCAGTGAATTGCCTGAGACACATATAAAATCAACATTTAGTACCATTGAATTTGCATACAAACATATTATTGGGGATTTTTTTTAAAGTTACATTTATGTAATTGGAAGAAAACAGTGAATGAACAAATAAATTTCCAGCATACTAGTAACTGGTCATGGACTCTGCCCATTAGATTCTTCTTCCTTTCAATCATGCCAATTTCGAATTCTCTGGTCTGAAAATTTAGAAATTTGAATGAAATTTAAACATTTCTTATTTAATTCAACTGTATATAAATAATCCGTCTAAAGAATTTTAGTTAACATTTGAATAACCTTACCCTTGTTACAGTGTCCAAGAAATGTCTGCCGCTTGAGATTTCTCTTCCAATATTCCTCCTTGAGATTCTTGTGGGGTCTTTCATGTGACTCTTTAATAAAAGTAAAATTTTACAAAATATGTACAAGTATCCCGGTATACGAAAAATCGGTATGCAAAGAACGTATGATTGGTGCCAAAGGAGAGATATGTTAATACAATAACGTAGAAAGAAAATAAATAAAAAAATCACGTCCAAAAGAAAACTGTAAACTTGGACTTGGGGATAGTACTATATTATTTCAATGAAATAGATTTTGTGATTTTTTAATTAAAAAAAAAATATTTATTTATTTATTTTGAAGCATGTATGGATTTGGAAAATAATTTACTTTTTTTCATTTCCGTCGCACCAACAATAAAATCCTTACCTTCACAGACTTCGGCATTCTCTCAGATTTGTATTCTTTTCCCTGAAATACGTATTGTTTTAAGAAAATAAATGCATAGGTTAATTTTAAAGGTTTAAATAAATAAATAAATAAATTCACATGTACAATACTATACCTCAAGAGTCTTTAGTCGATTGTTTCCTCTGTAATTTCCTTTCTACAATAACAAAGTAAGCATATGTTTTCATTTTCAATTCCTTCTTTTAATTTTTCAAATGAATTACTTGCAATTGTATGAAATGCATAAATATACATGTTATATTTACTTTTGGTGTTGAATCCTCAACGACAGGGTCAATGCCGTATTGTCGACAGAAGGAATAGTAATACTCATCACACAATGGAGGAAACATCTAAAAAGTTATAAGATAACTCCAATTTAAGTGTTGTACAGTGTATCTCTTAATATATAACTTTATATATTCAAAGATTATTGCCAACTATATAATTTAATGTTAATTCTATTTTATAGGATTCAAAGTTGAAACGATCTGAGGTCAATACTTAAAAAAAATTAGGATGAATATTTTATAACCTTGCCATCTTCATCTTTTTGGGGTTTGTCAGAATAGAAGTTACGATCTATTAAAGAGTTGCACGATCTTGCTCCACCTCAGTGGACAACATCTGACCCAGAAGCTGAAACACCCGATAACCAGTATTAGCGACTTCACTATCGACTTATCAAAATGTGTCTAAAATAATTTACCATGATTACTGACTTCAGCTCTCATTAATGAATACTAAATAAGAATACCTAAAATAAAGTATGAATTCACTACACGGTAACAGTTTGAAATTATAAAAAAAAATAAAAAAAAATAAAAACCTTCTCTCTCCTTTCATTATTACAGTATGACCACTGTTTTTTGGAAAGCCATGTATATAGTTTTCACATTGTTTATATTCAACAATTCTGCCCCTACGCATCTTGTTTTGTTTAGTGACACACATTTGTCACTTTTGTTACCCTTGTTTACACTTTTTATTTTCACTTTGTTTCCTTTATCTTTGTATATACGCTTTTGTTTTTTGTTTTTTCTTTATTTTTATTTTTACTCCTTATTTTGTTGTCACAGTTTATCCAACATGAATTCAAATGATTTTGATAATTGTTATTGCTTGCGGCGCTTACAATCAAATTTCTTCATTTGTTCAAAATTTTTAGCCAATGGCAGGTAACACAGTGTCACAATATCGAGCCGCGATAGGAATTTATTACTCAAAAACCAGATGCACAGTAAAATCAATGCTACTCTGTATCTTTGATTTTAGAAACGTACTTTCGTATCTATTACAGGTGTATAACTATTACTTTCAGATGTTCAAATGTATAGCCAACCAGAGTATGAAAAGCTCAATGCATGTATATTTTTGCTTGCAAATTATTCATCTACTATTATTATTGTCTGGCGACATTGAAACCAACCCTGGTCCGAATGGTGTTCCTATTCATAGTTTAGATATTTTTCACCTTAACATTAGGAGTATTAGAAACAAAATAGAAAGCTTAACCTCTTATGTAACTGACTTCGATATCCTATGCTTTACAGAAACACACTTGGACGCAAGTATAAGTAATTGCGAAATTTCAATTGAGGGATTTAATACAATATTTCGAAAAGATAGGAATTCGCACGGAGGAGGAGTTCTTGTTTATATATCTGAATCTCTTCGAGCCATAAGACGCGATGACCTTGAACCCACCTTATTAGAATGTATCTGGTTAGAAGTGTGTGTACCTACCTGTAATTTTTTTCTCTGCTGTGTCTACCGTCCACCAAATAGCAACAAATCCTTTTGGAATAATCTTATGTGGTCTATAGAAAAAGCTTCTGATATTTCCAGTAAAATAATTTTAGTTGGAGACCTTAATGTAGATTTCTTTAACATTCCTCGAACACACATCATGAATGAAATTCTGTTAAAATACAATCTCACAAACACTATCAATGAAGCCACTCGTATCACGAGCTCATCGAACACACTTATTGACCCAATTCTAGTCAATCCAGATATTTCAGTTCTTCACTCAGGCGTGTTACACACAGACAGTGCAATAAGCGATCACAAAGGGACATATATTTTTCTTAAATCAAGCGTTAATCTAGACCAATCTTATGAACGTAAGGTGTGGGTATATAAAAATGCAGACATAGACAAACTAAATTTACTTATCGAAAATACCGACTGGGCAAACCTCATTTGTAATGCACAAAATGTTAATCAGGCAACTGAAAACTTTTCTTTGGCATTCATGAATATAGTTAGACAATGTATACCTGAAAGATCTGTTATTATACGGCCGAAAGATAAACCATGGTTTGATTCCGCATTGCGCAAAACTCTTCGTATAAAAAATAGACTTAAACGAAAAGCCCAAAAAAGCAAAAAAGACTCTGATTGGACAAATTTTAAACAAGTGAGAAATAAGTTTAATAATATGAAAAAACATGCAATTGAAAATTACAAGAATAATCTAGAATTACATCTTACTGACGCTAGCAAAAACAACTCGAAACTATACTGGAAATTATTGAAGGATGTTTTTAAAACTAAAGTTACCTCTGATATTCCACCATTACAATATATAACAGATACTGGTTGTACAAATATTGCTTATTCAAATGAAGAGAAAATAGATGTACTCAATAATTATTTTACATCTGTATCATGTGTTGATGATAGTGGTTCAGAATTACCTGAGGTATATCATGTATGTAACAGTGAAATTAGTAGTATATGTATTACTGAGCAAGAAATAATTGATATTGTATCAATACTTCCTACAAACAAAGCTATTGGTCCTGATAATATAAGCCACAAGATGTTAAAATCAGCAAAGTTTACTATTGCTAAACCGCTCTGTTTATTGTTCAATAGATCTCTGAATGAATGTATTTTTCCCTCCGGTTGGAAATTAGCAAATGTACTTCCTCTTTTTAAAAAAGAAGATCCTTCTGTAATGTCTAATTATAGACCAGTTTCATTGTTGAGCTGTGTTGGAAAAATCATGGAAAGAGTTGTGTTTAAATATATTTATAATTATTTTCATGACAATAATCTTTTTTATAAATATCAGGCTGGTTTTTTACCTGGTCACTCAACAGTGTACCAGTTAATAGAAACATATGACAACATTGTAAAAGCTATTGATGATGGAAAATTTTGTTGTATGGTATTTTGTGATCTTTCAAAAGCGTTTGATCGTGTTTGGCATAAAGGTATTTTATTTAAACTTAAAACATATGGAATTTCTGGTAGTCTGTACAAATGGCTTGAGAATTATCTTGAATGTAGATATCAACGGGTGATGTATCGTAACTTGTTATCAACACCCAAGCCCTTATTTGCTGGTGTTCCTCAGGGCTCCGTTTTAGGACCACTTTTGTTTTTAATTTATGTGAATGATGTTGCTGATAATATGGTTACTTTTTGTAGATTATTTGCTGATGACAATTCTTTGCAGCATTCTTCTCATAATATGAAAATTATTGAAAGAGACTTAAACAAAGATCTAAATGCTCTGGAACTTTGGTCTAAAAAATGGTTATTGAAATTTAATCCCTCTAAAACTAAAGCAATAATGTTTAGTACAAAGAAAAACATAGAATATCCCAAGCTTCTTTTTCAACAATGTCAATTGGACTTCATCTCTGAACACAAACACCTCGGAGTATTTTTTTCACACGACGCTAGTTGGTCACTGCATATTGAAAATCTACTGTCTAATGCCTACAAAAAATTATCTCTTTTGAAAAAATTAAAATTTAAAGTAAATCGAAAAACTCTCTCACTCATGTATACGTCATTTATAAGACCGCAACTTGAATATGCTTCAGTGGTATGGGGATGCTGTCAATATAGTGATAACGATAAGTTAGAAAAACTGCAACTTTATGCTGCTAGAATTGTAACAGGGTTAACAACTATAGCTTCTAAAGATTCACTATACTTTGAAACGGGATGGGAACCTCTTAGTTGTAGAAGACAAGAAGCTAGAATAAAAACTATGTTCAAGCTTCATAATAATTTAGTGCCTGAATACTTAATGGACATACTTCCAGATATGCGCTGTAACACATCTATATACTCTACAAGAAATTCTCAAAATTATGATATTCCAAAATGTCGATTACAAACTTATAAGTCTACATTTATTCCGACAGTAGTTAATGAATGGAACTCAATTCCACTCGAAATTCGAAATTTACAGTCAATGTCAAAATTCAAATCTAAAATTAGTACTAAAAAATCTGCTCCACCATCATACTTTGATTACGGTAACAGACGACTAAATGTTCTGCAAACCAGACTACGGCATAATTGCGTATTGAATAGCGACCTTTATAGATGCAATTTAATATCAAGTCCTTTATGCTCCTGTGGTAAAGTTGAGGATACATATCATTATTTTTTTGTATGTCCAAAGTATGAGAAAGCCAGAAAAGAATTCTTAAATAAATTTTTACAATTTGACAAGATCCACATTCTAGATACTCATGTCTTATTATGGGGGGTAGATTCATTGAATGCTGCAGAAAATGAACGTCTCTTTTCTTTTGTTCAATTATTTATTAAACATTCTGGTAGATTTCCTTGTTAGCATTAACTAATGTATCAGTATATGCATTGGTACAAAATTAAGTGTATCTATATATCAGCAAAATGCATCGTTTTGTAAACTTTTGCAATTATTGTATACTTTAAAACTTCATGTTTAACTGTGACGATTTAAATATGTAATTTACATGTAGGGAGAGGGCGTAATAAGTTTTCAGAACTTGTGCCCAATCCCATTGTATTTATTAATTACAATAAAATATGTTCAAACCAGAAGTTACGATAAGTTGCCATTTTTTGTTCGCTCAATTTATTGTTCTAGTTCAACATAAATCTGAAAATGTGAAAGAAAAATGTTTGATATAATTTGTCATTCTTTTTTAAATTTATTTTAACGATTGCTTTCTTTTTAGAAACTTCATTATTTTGAAAAAGCATGTATACAGATGCTTACCTTCAGTCTTATCTTCCTATGCTGAAATAGCGACGTCATAATGCAGTAAGCATTGTGACGTAACAATAATATCGAACACAATTCGATTAACTCCATTACAGGATAAATTATGTGTTTCTAGACCAAGAAAACATACATGTGAACAAAATAAAGTACCAAGTGAATATTGCACATATTCTTTCAAAATATAATTATGATATAAATCTATTTTTAATACGGAATTTTATTTTCTGTTGACCTCGTTTTGGGATTCAGCATTTACACAATCTTTACACGAAATAAGCCTTCGCTTTCAAAAGAGTTCATTGCCCTTCAGACAGGTATACAGTTGACATAAATATTTGCATGCTTATCTATTTAGTACATCATCTGTGACATCTACTTCAGGGTAGCTCTTCTAATAACATCTGTTTTCATATGTTCCGTAAAATGTAAAAATGGACAGTAAGCTGTATGAGAACTGTAAGAACGACGTGTGCATTGTACAGTAAAAAAATAATTAAAAAGAAAGTCCAGATCAGCTGATAGCCTTTGACAAGTTTACCAAGTGCAATGTGTTAACTTCTAAACTGAGATGATATATCTTTTTTAAGTATCTTTATATGATTAATGTGTTGCATATAAAGCAATGATTGCTTAAATAATTTTATCTGATTTTATTCATAATGAACTTGTAGGCTCTAGAAGTAAAAATTCAAAGGGAGATATGCTGATTAGAAGGTACATATTCCTTGTACATTAAAGTCTTTTACTGAAAAAAGAGACAATTGATTTCATTCTGAACCCATTGTTTTTTAATATTGTAAATCTGTTTTATTCTCTAGAAGTCTACAGAGGTTGTCTGTTGTATTTCGTCATGTTGTGAGTATAGAGCATCTATTAATTTACATCTATTGATACAAAATGTTCACAGAGATCTTTTTTTCTTCATTTGAGAAATTATTTTCAATATACATGTACAACATATATGGATTTGCTAATATATACATTATGATATTTGTGAAAAAGTCTTTTGAAACTTATGCAAAAAGGAGAATATTACTTTTTTTTTAATTTGGTATTTATTTCTCTCTCTCTCTCTTTTTTTTTTTTTTTGGTCTCTTTAGAAAATGACAACTGCATACAACTTCAGTACATCCACACCAGATGATGTGATAGCAGAGATGATTGACACAAAAGGAGTTATCACCCTTAACAGACCTCAAGTTCTTAATTCGCTGAACCTCTCTATGATCAGAAAAATATACCCCAAATTAACAGTAAGCCAACATATCCAAATACATGTAATATGAATAAGTATATAGATAAAATAAATTTACATAGAAAGAAGCTTGTAGTTTAGGTTTTACTTTTTAAGTTCATGCAATGTGAAGTTCACATTCACATTTCATGATGGGCCCAATACACAAACTTGTTTGATATTAAAAACATGTAGATTTACTTGTTAGGTTATCCCTCTGAAAATTATCTTCTTTTTTTCAACTCGATAATCAGTCAAAATATATTTTTTGACATTTACAAAGTAATATTTATTTTCAGGAATGGGAGAATGACCCACATACAACAATGGTAATTATCAAAGGAGCTGGTGATAAAGCTTTCTGTGCTGGAGGAGACATCAGAGGTAAACAGAGAAGCAGTGTGTTCAAAGTAAACATGCTGCTTACTTGATTTCTTTTCATGAGAAGAGTGTACTTGGGAATGTGATTCATTTTATCAACTGGATTTTCAGTAGGTTGTTGAATGGTTATGAAACTGGATGAGAAATATGAAAGCTTTGTGGAAAATACCAGTGTTTGAAATAAGCATGTGCCCAACCACCCAAGACACATACTTTTTACTTTGGGCAAATAAATTTGATGTATCGATGATTGGTTGAATATGTTTAAATTTTCAGTAATTGAACATTTACGTTGGTTAATCAGTCTCAAATTAACTAACTCTACCATAGCAAATCATAACAAGCCCAGTGGCGGTTCTTGTCAGTCTATGTATGCTGAATTCTAGTCGCAGAGGAGCAGAGACATCTTTTGAATAACTTTTTGGGATTGTAATTTGCCAGCTGCTTGCAAGGCAGATGTTGTAACAACTTATAAGGGTAGAGAAAAGTTCGTGAACACATCAATTTCTGGAAAATTTATTGTGTACTTTGAAGAATGACATATGTCTGAGTAAATTCTTATCTTTTGTTCATTAGTATGTAAAAAAAGGTCTATTCATGAAAATTTGAAAAATATACCATGATTTTTACTGTGCGGTTATAGGATTCACGGAGTGATCACTTAGTGTTAGGTGAGTCTGACATGACAACCTCATTCCATACCTGCTAAGCTTTTTCACAGATCTAATCATCTTCAATTTCTTTATATTTCTTTTCCTACTTTAAAATTGAATAACTTTATCAAGACATGTTACTTTTTTTTCTAAAATGTCTTGTGGCGTATTGGATATTAGTGAGATCTTAAATGAATGTTCACACAGTTAAGCGATCAGGAATGGAAAGAATGTAAAATCCACAGGCTCAACGCCCATGCGATAAGCTGGGTATTGGGATATTGCAGGAGTTGATCATCAAAAATGTCATTCCTTCAATTCTAATAAAGCTACTACCATCTGAACACTTTGTTCCTAGGTACATACAGGCAATCCCCAGCAGCATATAAAAACATTTTAATCTCTTTCGGGTATTTTCCTGTCTGCACACATAATTTTTTAATAGCTGGGTGCTCCAAGATGTTCAATGGCATTGCCAATCTTGACTTTGTTTTTACTCATTATTCATCTATAATTAGCAATAAAACAGTCATAACCCCTCCAATTTTATTCAAAATTTTGCCAGATGATGTTTCATGAATAGAGTAGCAACAGGTGGATTATCATAAAACACGGTGCAATTTTTAATTTAAAAAAATGTCTATGTAATGTAAACGTGCAAAAAAGTGACATGCTCCATGAAGCATATTTTATCAAAATGATATAGCTGTATATTTTTTAAAGATCAACGGAAAACACCAAATCTTTGCATATTTATTGGAAAATATGTATAGTTTTTATCTGCAGAGTTTTAGTAGTTTCATACAAATAACACACTCACAACAGAACTTGTCCATGAAATTTTCTAACAACCCTTATATATGGTTTCACATATGTAATAAAAACAATTTTTGAAAAAAGCAATACATTTCTCAGCGAATCTAGCTATTTTACAGCGAGTTTCAAACACTTGGAAAATATATTGTCAGTCATTTTTATTGTTCATGTACAAGTCCTCATTAAACATTCTCCAGTGTATATATATTACTGTGTGGCCCTGTGTTGTTAAAAAAAATGTAAAATGAAGTATTAAAAAAAAAATAAGCAGCTAAGGTAAAGGGGCATAACTTTTAACTAGCATGTAGTGAAAAGAAGTAAAAATAGGTTTCCCATCAGTGTATGATGGACATTTTTGTATTTTTTAACATATCAAGCAAAATGTTTTGTTTTGTAGCTGTCACAGAGGCTGGAAAAGTTGGAGACAGGTTGTCCCAAGATTTTTTTAGAGAAGAGTATATACTGAATAACAAAATTGGTCAGTAGAGATTTCTTCGTACAGTACTTCTGTTGATGCGATAAAATTGTAGTCATATGCAGACTATAGCAATCCACATTTTATAATAAAATAATTTTCATTTCCAAATTGAGGGAATTTAGTATGAAGTAACAAATATCAATCTGTATTATACAGTGAAATATTTTTTTGGTTGCCTACCATTTTTCATATACAAGAGATTACCGGTAATATTATGTTTATGGTATCTAATTTATTAAATTATAAATACTGAAAACAAAGACAGGATTGTTTTTAATGTGCATAGTGAAGAAATTCACTATGCAGAATTTGTAATATACACCTGTTTTCTTTGTACAGGTACATATGAGATTCCATATATAGCACTGATTGATGGTATAACAATGGGAGGGGTAAGTAAAACTGTGACAAAATCAGGAAGCAAAAAGCTTAGTACTCATAAACCCAGCTAATGTAAAATGATAAAGGGAATAAGTACAGTGATTTTCAGTTAAATTTGATAGAAACTTCTTGTTTTTTTGGAACAGAATAGTAATTTTGTTTATGTATGACATTCATTAAGCTTTTATAGTGCTGTTTTCTGACAGGGTGTAGGGTTATCTGTGCATGGAATGTTTAGGGTGGCTACAGAGAGGACAGTATTTGCAATGCCAGAAACAGCAATAGGTAAAGAGAAAAAAAATGTGTTTAAATGTATATCTATTATACATTATTATTATTCATCTGATTACTGTAGATCACTATATTTACGATACATTATATTTTAGGGAGATTGTTGAATGATATTTATAAATGAAATAGATTTTTAGTTATTGCTCCTATAATCTTTTATAGTAGAATTATAAGTGAGATAGAAATTTTTGCAAGCAGTCTCATGTATTTACGCAAAAATAAAGTTCTTGGGAATAGAAAGTGATTTACAGTAGTTAGGACAGAATTCATATTTAAATAATTTATATGGAGTACATGTATTTTTTTTTTCTAAAAACATTATTTCTTTACAATTTAGAATCATGTTGTAATTTGACACACCCTCATAATGTCTCATCCATTTATTCTTCCTACAGGATTATTTCCTGATGTTGGTGGAGGTTATTTCCTACCACGACTGGGAGGAAAATTGGGAGTATATCTCGCTCTTAGTGGATTCAGATTAAAGGGCAGAGATGTACTCAAAGCTGGAGTTGCCACTCATTTTGTACAGTCAAATAAAATACCAGAACTAGAGAGTGCCTTATTAGGATTAGATAATGCACGTGCACATGATATAGGCGAAGTCTTAGAGAACTTTCAAAATATGGTGAGTACCATTTTCCACTTATACAATTTAATTCACACAGAGGAATAAGAAATATGTAACATACTATCATTTGATAATCCCAAAATTAAGTAAATTTTGTTAATGACATGCAAAGCAGATGCATATAGTTAGAAATTCCATTCTTTTTAAGTCTTATTTAATTTCAAGTTGAAGATACAGTAAAACTTGCTTATATAGTAAAGTGCCACGGATAGACAACTTGCTTTGTTATAAACGTTAATTGTTATATCCGTTAAGTTCACAATACTTTTTAAAATTAAGTGGAAGAAAAATCACTTCACTGTAAGGGTGAATTCATTGTATAAGTATGTTTGCTATATGTAAGCGTGTTTCACTGTACTTTAAAACTTTTGTCAAAGGTATTTAGGTTTCTCTGATAAAAAGTAAATAATTAAAATTTTATAAACCCTTTCAGAGCACGGATATACCAGATACAGATTTTATCTTAGATCCTCACATAGAAGAGATAGACAGGCTGTTTGAAGGTGACACTGTAGAACAGATTGTGCAAAACCTGAAAAATGAGGGATCAGAATGGGCCAAAAAGCAGCTCAACACACTCAGCAAAATGGTAAACAGGGTGGAATTGTATACTGTTGAATCAATTTAATATGTGAAGGCTTATTTTCATGATTTTTTTTAAAATATATATACTGGTAGTTAAGTAGGGGACATAATTTCATAGAAGTTTCAAGATGAAGGGATATATAATATTTTTCAATATTAGTGAATAAAAATAAATGTGGACTCCACGTGCCTATATACATGTATAAAGTCATTATAAAAAAAAGAAAAAAAATGTTAGTAGAATGTTCAGTAACAGATATTGAGAGATAAGTTTTGATGTAATTACAGTCTCCTACATCTATGAAGATAACCCTACGACAGATTCTAGAGGCAGAGACAATGACCCTTCAAGATGTTCTAGTCATGGAGTATCGCCTCAGTCAGCATTGTATAGAAGATCATGATTTCTATGAGGGTGTTAGAGCTGGTAAGGGATTTAGCATATCTAACTGGCTTTTATTTGTCATGCTCTTTATTTATCTCTAATTGTTTTTGTTTCTATTATGCATTGCTGTAAACTGCACTGAAGAGTTTAACTTTTCAGATTGGTCCTCCATGTTTGTTTTTAACGAAAGAATTTACAGATTTATAAGCAAATTAAAAGTACATGTAGTTAAGTTGCACAATATCTAAAGGAAAAATCCTAAAATAAATCTTTTTTTTTTTTAAATTTCAGTTTTAGTAGATAAAGACCAGAGTCCAAAATGGAATCCCTCAACATTAGAAAAAGTGACCCCCCAAAAAGTAGACTGGTACTTCTCTTCATTACCAACAGAGAGAGAACTAAAGCTCTGAAAATAATCAAAGAATTACCCACACTTACCTCAGGTCTTATTGTATAAAACAGTATTTTGATTTTACAAGTGCAAGGGATTTTTACTCCTTGGCATTATTTAAAAAAATGCTAGCGATATTTTAACAATTACTGTCTTGATTTCATTGGTGATTTTGTTGTGGTTTCAAGCTTTCTGGTATATGTATTGTTAGAGTGATTAAAACAGTTTATGCTAACTTGTGGTGCTAAATAATTGGCTGTACAATAAACATTTGATTCACAAGTACATTATTACAGGCTTCAATATAAGATTACAGTCAAACTTCTTTATCTCACACTGTAGAATCGGATTTAAACCTGGAAACAACTTTCTGTACAAGAATAAAACATTGAGAATATACAAATAATGTATTGATTGAAATGTTGTATATTCCCTTGAAGGTGTCAGTTTGATAAAAAAAAAAAAATAAATTCATAATAAAATGTAACATATGATTTCATTTTTTGGTTCAGTATATGAAAATGTACATTGTGGTTTATTTTTCCCCCTTTTAACTTTGCTTGAAATTAATATGTATAGATCTACACATATTTTGCTGAAATTCATGTGACACTTTTAGCTCTATATACAGTCAAGAATCGCCTTTATATTTGCGCCAGAAAATTAAGTGACCTTTGACCTTTTTTCCTGAAAGTTAATGTTAACATCTATTTATGCCAACTGTTTTGATGATTATGAAAGAAAGGATCTTCAAGATAGAATCTGATATGGAAACAGAAGATAAACATGTAAGTTTCAAGCTTTTGACTGAAGTTTTCTATTTTATCAAGATCAACTAAGTATATGATGCCCGTCGAGCAAAGGGTTCTCAAAATATTGGTTAATTTTCGTGCAGCAATATTTGGATGTAGCAGTAAAAGCAGGTGATGTTTGACCTTTTCACCTATAAATCAGTAAAGGTCATCTTGTAATTGTAGCCAGTTTGTGTTCAAAGTAAATGATGAAAAGAGTCTTGACACATTGCTTATTGGAAATCATTTGATGTGAATTGAACAGAAAAAAGGCAACCTTTTGACCTGAAAATCATTAGAGGTCATTTGTTTATCAAGACCAACCTGTGTACACAGTTTGTTGACATTCTAGCTAAGGGTTCTCAAAATATAGGTTTGCAATATTGCTTGATGTGTGTAGCAGAAAACCTAGTAACCCTTTACTTTTCAACTAAAAATCATCAGCTTGCCATGGCAGATACATGTACTTATGAAGTTTGTTGGCTCAAGCAAATAATTCTCGATATTGGTTTGAAAGATTTGCTTTGCCAACCATTCATCAACTGAAAGTTATAAAGGAATAGATCACACTTCTTTGAAGATGTCTAAGTATTTGATTACATGTATTCTAATTTTAGTAACTACATCGTACTTGTATGGGACCATCTATTGAATTAAAAATTGATGAAATTGATGCACAGAAGTATATGTGTTAATCTTGATGTAGTGTTTTTTGTATTAAATTTTACTGAAATCAGTCAAAACTTATAGGGGGAGATTAAAATATTTTTTTAATTGTTTTTTCTTTTAAAGAAATCTTAGGAACTTTGCTTGTTTACATTAAAAACAACAGGTAGATTTATTTATTGTGATGTAATCTAAGTGAAAGCAGACGAAAACTCTAGGAGGAATGGCATATTGAAATATTGTTTACAAACAAACAGATAAACAAACACACTGGACAGACAGATGAGGGACTACCTAGCAATGCATCAATTTTTTCCAGTCATTTATTATCAAACAGAATTAACTTCAGTTACAATATATCCTGGTTATCTAAACATCTACAGAAGTAATAGACACTTAAATGTGAAATTTTATGATGAAGAAAAGAAGTTATAATTATGGCCTTAAATTTATAAAAAGACAAATGATGATGTCTTAAATCACTTTTATTACTATTACATCTTGAGTATCATTGCAATCAACATAATAATCACAAGAATAACATGAAGAGTAATACATACAGTATATTCTAATAGTGATGGGAATCAGGAAGAATTTCATAATCGATGATCAGGTTACTGTAACTAACTAATTATTGATTATAATCGGATATTTACAAAGTCTATCAAATTGACTTAATTAAGTGGTAAGAACGGGTAAATGACTACTTTCTGTGGTGGTCCAGCTGGTCCTTCATTCATTTTGTAGAACCCAAAGTACGTCCTTACCGGGAAAGTACTTTGTTACCTGGGTACGGATACAATTGTCTGTTCATCTGCGGCATCATGATACACAAATAAGTTAATAGATAAGTCACGGCTGGGATATTTGGCTTAAAAACTATTATGCTTGTAAAAAAAAAATTAACTGATTAATCAGAATAAATATTTTGTAATTGAGTGCTTGGATTATGCCAACAATCGACTGGTCTTTGATTATAATCGATGATTGGAACACCAGTATATTCTAAAATTACATCTTGTGATTATGTGTATGTACACTTACTCCTTTTGTATACATGTCTAGTGTACATTAACAATTATATCACAGATAAATCACAGCTCCAACTAAATTAATTTCACAATTAATAGTAAGTTACTCTCTGTATATTATCTCTTCTCACTTTTACTACAACTTTGCTTTGGTTTGGGGATTCTCTGAATCATCTGTTTCCCAATCATAAGCTGGTAAATTTTTATGATCTGCAAGAAATGTAGGAGAGAAAATAATTATTATGAGAGAAACTAATTATATGCATGTTGGAACTCACTAGGAACCACATATTACTTTGGGTTTCTATGTCAGCCAAAATGTTTAAAAACAAAAAAAATAAATAAGTGGCCCATAGGCAACAATGCTCACCATTTACATGGAAATAAATATAAACAAAGATATAAATAAAACCTCCTATTAGCATCTCCAAATTTCACATTTCTACAACTTTAATTTACAGTATATTAAGGCTTGGTGTCAAATATACGAATTGTTGCCTTAATTTCATTTCTGTATAATACTTCCGCTGTTTTTGTCTAGCCTAGTTCCTGGGCCTGGGACTGAGGCCATGCTTCAAACAAATTTGAATCTTAACACAGGGAAGCTTTCAATACATGTATATAATTAATATGCTTAACTCTGGTCCAGCTTTTTTGAGATGATTTTCAAAGATTTTTAAACCAACTGAAACATCACTTGACGAAAAAGGCCTATTGAAGTCATTTTACTAAATTTTAAAGATTAAAACATCCTCTTTCTTTCCTATTTTGAAAAACATGAAAGTTTTAAGGGGTTTTTTTTGGTTAAAAATACTTTCTTTGTTGCAACAGTTTGGTCAAGGAATGGATTGAACAGCAAGAAGACTGTGAAACTGCAATTTTTGAAATATGAAAGTTTGTTAATTTGAACTAGAGTGCTAAAGCCTTCAAATGATAAGCAGCATTAAATGAAGTGCTTGCATTTAGTTTTCTCCTACCTGGGATCTGCCAGGCATTGCCGTACAAACTGGCAGCGCCATCTACTTTGAGAGATTCTCCTGATATAAAAGCAGCTGCAGGTGAGAGGAGGAAGCATACAGCTGCTGATATCTACAAAGCAATAACAATACAGATTATAAATAGCTCATAAAATAAAGAGACTGAAAACTATTTTTCAAAAAATTATTTATCAAAAGAATTTTATAAGCTGTTGCTGAAACTTGCCTCAGCAGTAGTGCCTAATCGTTTAGCAGGAATATATGGGATGGCATGGTTAAATATATTTTTGTCTCCATAATTTGCAGCTGCTGTTTCCGAGTATATGGAGCTTCCCTGAAAGTATTTTTAAAAATTCTGATATATATGTATACAAGGTCTATTTCATATGAATCTGATGAATTTTATTTAATTTTAAATTTCTTCCTCTTTATCATGAAAGTAATTTAAGATTTTTGTTGAAATTTACCTACAGGAGCTACAGCATTGACCCTGACCCCGGAGGCCGCCCACTCCAAGGACAAAGATTTGGTCAGATTGTCTACTGCTGACCGTGCTGCCCCTGTGTGACTGAAAAATAAATTTTGATGTAAAGTATTAAAATAACATCCCCTGATATTGGTACACTGTTTTTTTTTTTCTCTCAGAACAGTTCATTAGTAATTGATTAATAATTTTAAAACCAGTGTCAAAAAGTACATATAATCTACATGAATGGCCATGGGTTTTATACATGTAGATTGAACATGCATTCTTGAATTTAACACAGCATAAATGTGCTTGCAAATTAATTGACAATTTGGGGCTCCATATCTTTTATGAAGATTTTCCCTGTACTTCTTAGGAATAAGGATATATTCTAAAGACTTTTTCTGTTATTGTTCATATTTAAAAATCTTAAATCAAGACTTTATGAAGATGTCTAAATATAAAATTGACAATAAGTAGATTTGTAGTTCTAAAAAGATTTTGAAAGATTTTAACTGTACAATTCTTTGAAACCCTTTGGACCCTCTTTTGTGGCCTCATAGATGATCATAAATATAGACACATAAACATAAATAAACTTAATCTTTCTCTCACCTACCTCATTCCAGGGAAACCCGTCCACATATCAGCAATTATATTGATGATAACACCACCATGCTTGCACATCCACTGGTTATATACTGAAAGGTGTGATATCTAGATAATGGCTTACAATGTAACAACATATCTGTAGCTGAGGAATTCAATTGCCACAATAAGCTCTTAAGTCAGTCAGAAGCATAACATCAGCATACCTTCTCTGCAGCATAAAAATGTTCCAGTGAGGTTTGTCTCTATGACAGCATTCCAGCCCTTAAGACTAAAAGAGGAGGCAGGTCCTGGAAACTGACCCCCTCCATTGTTTACAAGGAAATCAATTTTACCAAACTTTGACAATGTTTCTGAAATCATTTTCTGAACCTGAAATGACATTTCATTACATATATAAATAAATGCAATAAGGGAAGCAGTTTCATTGAACTTATCATATTCCTCTGGAGAGAAAAGATAATGTTGGGTCAATTTAATTATACAATTATGCCTACAGTGAAATAGTACAAAATACCATAAATGTAATTTTCTTATATACACTGTATTCAAATTCATTAAAACCAGTTAAAAAATCATTATTTGGCAGCAATATTATTTTCTGATATACAAAAATATCAGAACTGCAAAATACTAAAAGAATGTCCATATATGTGTGAAATAAAGATTAGAAATGATTGCCAACTTCAATTTTAGTTTGTCTTATTACAGTCCTAGCACAAGGCTCTGAAATTTACCCTTTAGTTCACCTACATAATATTCTTACTGGCTTCAATTACAGGCTTGAACTTTTGAAAAAATAAAATTCAGTGTAGCTGACTGGATTTACCTGATCTTCTTTCCGAATGTTGCATGGGATATTGCTTATTTCTGCTGAACTGTCACTAGGGATCTGTTTCTTAATGGCATCAGAAGCAGAAGCAAGTCTTTGTGCATTACGTGATGCAATCATTACTTTGCATCCTGCATGTCAAGACTATAAACATATTAATATACTTTATTTGATAAAGATGCTCATTGAAATTGAATTAAAAAATAAACAGACCCAAATATAAGAGTTCATGGGTTATAGCTAATCCGATGCCAGTGCTTCCTCCTGTCACTATGGCCACTTTTCCTTTAAATAAACCTGGTCTGAAAACACTTGAAACTTTCCCAGTAGAGCTCGCCATTTTTATGTCATGTGACATACAAAATGCTCACCGATCCCGGCTCAAATTGGGAGCTTTTTTTTTTTTTTTTTTTAAATAGTTGTATGTATAAAAGTTCGCTTTTTTATGAGCCTATTTTTAAATGAATCGTATCTATCTCCAATTAAATAAAAGTTCAATTCTCTGATTCTGTTGTATCGATCTTTGAATGATTTTCTTACAGGCAAATTTATTTGAAATTTTATACATGAATATACAAGTTAAGGTAAATTAATTTATTAAAAGAATTCTCAAATTTGAGAAATGAATTACTGTAAGTTGTATCGGGATATAACGTTTAGGTGAACACAATTTTAATTGAAAATTAAACTGTCATTTTCAATGAAAAATGAAGAAACCAGTTCAAATCTGGCAGGTCTTACACCAAACGAACGAAAGGGAAAAAAAATTAATTACTATAAGTGAATTAGTTTTATAGTCTACCGCATTTCACAATCGTGTATATTATAAATTTTCCTTAATTGATGATGTTTACTTTTTAACACTAAAGTGTGGGCACATTCAAATGACACACAAAAATGTGAAATATTATCACCAAAGTTGCTTTATTTTGTCCAAAAGAATCATTGAAACTTTAGGAGATCAGGGAAGTTCACATTGTTATACTGCATTTCTGTGTGTCGTTAGTCTGTAATTTGATATTCATAAGATCAATAATTATTGATTGCTACGAGAAATCGAGGGGTCAAGAGAAAAGTCATCGCACAATCAAAGAAAGTGACAGATTCAGAGGGAAAATATATTCCATCAATTAAAGATTTAAAACGTTATTGTCTTAAGAGACAGTTGTTCAAGATTGTCTCATTCACATTTAAAGAATCCAAGAAATTTAAAGAAATGCATATAGTTTATAATTTTGTGACGGTATAATACTCACAGAAACAGAAATTTTGAACAGTTGCGAATCTTTTATCTGCGTCTCTGATACAAAGTATTATAGGTAGATATTTTCCCCAGAACGGTTTTATAAGCTACTCAGCCTCCTCGACAATCTCAGATTACCCAAGTGATCTAGACCGTATTCAAAATAATTTCTACATTAATATCAGGAATCAATATATGAAAACATTGAGCCACTATAAAAATCTTTTTTGTCCATTATATCATGAAAAGAATATACTCAGCACGAACGTCACCTATGACCTGGGCATTTGACCTCAAAATCAATATGAAATGTTTTGTGTGGTAAAATATATTCTGAAGCAGTAACATATTTGATAAAAAATAATAATAAATTTAAAAAAACTTAAAATAATAATTAAAAAAAAAACTGAAGTCATTCTTTATGTCACTTGTCCAGCAAAACTCCTAAAATTAGTTTTAAAAATATTTGCATTTAGAGAGAATGATAAATAACACAAAAAATCTTCTTCTTTTTTTTTTTTTAAGAATCCAGCAGTATACTAGTATCTTAAACCTTTATGTTCATATAGATAAATTGAGTAATGGTTGATGGAGTAAGTGCGGAAATTTTGTAAGATTTTGAAAAAAAGATGTTTCGAAATGTGTGCAAAAAATAGTATAAATTTATTTTTTACGTACTTACTCATGAATACAGTTTTTTGCAAACGAATATGCGTGACGCCATACTAGGCGTATTAATTTCCAGGGCTGATACCATGCACAGGCACTTGTTTCGTATACGGGGCACCCCTACTTATTTTTACCACGTAAAAATAAGTAGGGGTGCCCCGTATACGAAAAAAGTGCCTGTGGCTGATACGGATCCTGCAGGGCTGATACGGTTATATATCACACCTCTTGTAGATCAAACCTAAAAAAAGTACTGATGGTAATACATGTATACCTATTTTTACGTCCACTTTCTCTGTAATATTTTTGTATAAAATATGTGGAGATAACGAACAGCATTCGAGCTCAAACATTACAAAATAGGAGCAGAGCAAACACGGACTTCTAAAACATCAGAGGTTGGATCAGGTGCCATGAAGGAGTGAGCATCCCCTGTCGTCCGGTCACACCCCTCGTGTGCTCCTTGTCATGATCGGGAAATAACGGAAATTCCGTCAACAAATCAGTGTGTAAATAATGGCCTAACAATTAGTATGAAAAAAGTCAGACAGCATTTGACTTAATGAAAGATTGTATTTGCTGACAAGGTCATTGTATCGACCATAGAACTTCCGAAATGACTTTAAACGAGACTGCTGATATTCTTGTTTCATCAACTTGTTTGTCAATAATTTACCTCGTTTTAGAAATTGTCATATGTAGAGCATGCTCTTGCGTATCGAATCAACTGAGAGATATAAACCCCTAATGCAGGTGATAAGGGTATATTGCTGCATAAGTAAGGAAAGTTGACGATTGAAAAGTTAAAGTCATCACGTTTATCATAAAGTTTTGTTGTTAGATTACCATTAACGTCCTTTTCTAATAAAATATCCAAATATGAAACAGAAGTGTCAGACTCGGTGGTATCTTTTATCTCAAGCTCACCGGGATGTATCTAATTGTAAATTACTATTATTTGATGTGATAAGCTAGTCGGTGATATTTATTTGTATTAATTTACTCAAGTAGATGTGTGTATGCAAAAAGCATAAAAAACACACCCTTTTCAATAGCACACCCTGTATCAGCCCACGGCCAATACCAGCCCCGGGCTTTCGGTCCTCTGGCCGATATTGCATGGACGTCGCGCACGATGTTGGTGTCAATTTTGGTAACGTCAAAATGACGTTAGATTACGTGACGCTAGAAAATTAATTTGGCGTTACTTTTTTGACCTACATTTTCTATGAAAGAAAAAATATAAACCTAGTATTTCTTTTAAACAACAATGCAGTTCATTGAAATTAATTAAATTCTCTGCTATTTTGCATGCATATTTCGGGAGGGAAATATGTGCAAAGGTTGCCTCATTTAATGAAAAGCTCGGTAGAAATTACAAAATTTATTTGACCTTTATCTGCTCTTTATTTCATTGAGATACATTTAAAAGAATTCCATGTCATATCAGCAGTCCCTAGTACCAGCCCTCTGTTTTCAGTATAGTGTACATATGTTGCTGATTTAGCATTGAATTTAATTTTTTCATTCAAAGCCCCTATCCCCACCTCACATTTAACCCCCACCCTCGCATAGACACTTACATACTGAGTACTTCTTTTTGTTACAGTAGATCTAACTATTTCAAATAATTCATTTAGAAAAAAAGGAGAGGAAACGAAACCGAGAATCGAAACACCCCCCCCCCCCAACTTTCTCAATGAAGAGGATTTTCGAAGTGCGACAGTTTCGAGGTTTTGTAGATATTTAAAAAACAACATTTAAGTTTTTCTTCCTTAACTCCCCTTTTTTATATGCGTTGCAACGTGCCTCACAGATCTGGATAATGATCGTAGGTTTCGTACTCCTTGGGGTACTTGTGCAGTTTACCTGTTTTATGCGTTTGCATACTTTTTTTTGTTATGCTCATTAATTTAAGCAAAGAGTGTGTCGGAGACCGTTTCAAACATACTTTCATCAGGATTCAGATTTGAATCTTTAAACCAAACCTGTAGGTTATGAAAGATAAGACTTTGAACATATTTTTCAGCTCATTTCACAATAGAAACTTATTTAAAAAACTCAGAAAATTATATTATTGCAAATTTAGAATAGGTTACTTTAAGATTTTCAAAAATATTTTATTAATATTGTCAAATCTTTCTGCATTTCAATTTCAAGAATGAAAGAATTAAAAATATTAATCGACCAGCTCATTTCAAAATTCCTTAAGCGTGTTTTATACCAGTTGGCCCCCTCACTTTCTTGGTCAGTAAAGGGTTTTTTTTCGTGCCTCTCAGATTTTTTGGGAATCCCCCCCCCCTTTGAAACCGTTGTTAACCTGTAAACAGGGGGTGTAACGATATCCCGAGATATGGCAATGCTTTCCGCTTGAAGTCGATTATCGATTATCTGAAATACCTTCTTTTTTTTTAGTTTCTTAGTTTTCATACAGTTAATTGTTTCAAAATTATAAAAATAGCGCAAATGCTGCCGCAATGGAAATTTTGACTTTTTGACACCAACATATCGTGCGCGACGTCATGGTGTCTCGGACTGATACAGGGTGTGGGATGTATTACCCTCCATATCGAACATGGCATACAGGGGAACACTAAAGAAAATACGATTTCTATATACTTAGGAATTTATCATTTCTGTCATTGTCATTCAAAATCGGTCAAAAATATATTTCAACCCATACATCAATTTTTTGTTTGTGTTATTTATCCCCAATAACTAACATCCTCGTCTAAGACAGCTGCAAATTTAGTGATCATAATATTTGGCTTGAACAGAGAGACGTATTGATAAGTCTCATCAAAGTAACATAAGGTGGAATTTATCATTAGCTCACACTTTCACGAAAAGAATATAGGTGTGATAGAACACATTCTAACAACCATTCGATTGATATTTTCATTACTAGCGAAAAATATGATCTACAGTAATTACATGCACAAGCATTAGCATCAAAGCATCCATCACAACTGCATTTTAACATAATTATGCATACAATGACATACACAACTGTAATACTATATTCAACGCATTCAATTTTACTTTAAATGTTTTTTTAAAAAGATATAAAAATAAGCAATAAAATGTCTTTCTTTCTTTGTTAGTACGGGAATTCACGTCGCAGCTTTTGCAGAAAAAAAATTATTAACCCACTTACGCGGATGTATTTTATGTATTTTTTCCGCAACAGCTGCGACATTAATTCCCGTACTAACAACCAAAGAAAGCATTTTATTATTTAAGTGAACACACACAGACATATAACATATATGTAATCAAGCTCAAAAGTTCATTCGAACAATACAAATTGGGAGCAGCAAGAACAAACACGGACCTCTAAAAACATCAGAAGTCAAGTTCCATGGATGAGTAAGCATCCCCTGTCGACCGGTCACACCCGCCGTGTGCTCCTTGTCATGATCGAGCAAATGG